GTTCCAAAATGCGTACTCCCAGGCATTTTTGGGCTGGGGGGAGGGGGCAGAGCCCCAGTTGCTTGGCAGCACGCATTTTGTGATTTTCAAGGGCCCGAAACACTAAAATGTGCACTCCCGCCAAGATTGCCTGGGAGTACGCACGTGTACATGCTGTTGGTCTTCTTCTGCAAAAGCAGTCTTTTCTGCAGCCACATTCAAATGTTGTCGGGATCACAATAAATCCTTGTCACTGTGAGAAAAAACCTGTCGTAGTAAGACAAAACCTGTCATGGTACCAGCACCCCATTGGTCAGAGACAGGAACTGACCGTAATGCATGTCATTGACATGGACATCTATGTGAACTTTGCCTTCCCGCAGAGGTTGAATATCAAAGCTTAAGCAGGTCCTTCCGCTTTGTCTGCTTTTTTGTCTTTCTTTCCCTTAGATGGACAGCTTGTTCTTCACGTAATCTCGGGCATGCAAAAAGGAGCCTGTGGGAACTTTGCTCCTCATCCTGCTCAGGTATTGAGAACTTTGGACACTCGGCTTTTTTTTGGGAAACTCAACGATGCCATGGCTTTGTGGTGATGCTGCTGCCTTCCGGGCGTTTTCTTTCTTCTTCTTATTCTTCCTTTGCAAAGCCTTAGGCACGCTGAACAGCGGGCCGAATGTTCTTTGCATGCACACACGCGGGCTGGGTGAGAGGCATCAGCACTGCTGGAGCTCGAGCTTCCGCCTAGCCAGCTCCCAAATGCCACACCAATTCTGTTCGGCACTGGCTTAGATAATCCCTATATAGCCCCCATATTCCCCCTATAAAACCCCTGTAGTACCCCCACGTAACCCCTATGTAGCCCCTATATAGCCCCTATATAGCCCCTATATAACCCCCATATGGCCCGTACATAACCCCTATAGTACCCCTATAGTACCTTGACCTCTTTCTGGTGTAAGGAGTGGGCCACTTTGTGCTTCAGACCGAGCATCCCTTGCCTCAGAAAGGGCTTCGGTTTGTGCGCTGCCGATGCCGCTTGTCAATGGTCTATAGGGGTTATATAGGGGTTATATAGGGGTTATATAGGGGTTATATAGGAGTACTAGAGGGGCTACATAGGGTTCATCTAGAGGTAATACAGCGTTAATAAAGAAGTTATACAGGGGCCGAGGGACTTTTGCTTGAATAGCTGCCTGTGCAGCTGCGTAGGCCTGTCCAGAAAGTCAAGATTGGACTGGGTCTGTCATCTACGAAGGAGGGACCGCCGGCCCATGACCCCCAGAGCAGACGCTTTAAGAAAACAGCAGCGCCCCGCCTTTGCCTCTGCCTGTGCACGAGCTAACTCGGCTGCCTTTTGGGCAGCAACCTCCAAAAAGCGCAATGCAAATGCCCATGTAACCCCCTATAGATGCCTATATAACTCCTCTAAAGCCCGATATATAACCATCCATATAAGCCCTGTATCACCTTAAATATATCCCATATAGAAGCCTTTGTAATCCTATATGACCCTATATAGTACTATATAGCCCTATTCGCGTAGGTCACTGTGTTGTAGCAGTCATTTGAGTAGTAGTTTATTTGGGGATACTATGGTACCCATTATAGAGTGAGATTCTATCCTCCTTTTGGGCATAGTATTTTATATAAGGAATATAATCTTACTAGGTTCAACCACAAAAAAAACGCTACTCATTTCTGGCTGACTCTGGGCCTGGGCAGCCTGAAGAGCTGCAGCCTGCAAGCAAGCGACACAAATATACTGGGGCTTATATTGGAATAATGGAAAAGAAAATGACAACAGTTTTAATGGGTTATGTAAATTATTGTGGGGTTATATTAGAATAAGGGATAAGAAAATGCAAACTACTATAATGGGTTATACAAAATTATATTCGGGTTATAGTGGAATTTTGGAAAAAAGAAAGTAGAAACTACTATTCTATATTTTTTGGGGTTTATGTGGGGTTTATAGGGGTAATATAGGGCTTGTATAGGCATAATGGAAACTACTACATGATAGCTTTGGATAAGCACAATATCTGTAGCCATTAAAAAGGGGGCTCAACGCAAAACCCCCAATCAACAGCTGGTAGTTTCCCTAAGTAAGGGGACCCCAATATAGACCCCAACATACTATAGTCCTTGTTATAGGGACTCCCAAAAAAGTACCCCTAATTTCACGAAACCCTCAGCTCTTGCATGCGCTTCTCTGATGGAAGCTCCCAGCCTCTTGGAGCGCAGCCAGTTGAGCCTGAAACTATGTCAGACCAATATGGGTATATTGGGGTTATATAAGGGTTATATAGGGATAATGGAAAAGAAAATGGAAACTACAACTATACAGGGGTTGTAGGGGGTATATAAAGTAGGGTGGTTGTCAAAATTATGGTCCCTTTTTGAAGCCTTATTATAATACGGCAACTAATCTTTAGGGTACCCAAAAAGGGACCATAATTTTTACAACCACCCATATAGGGACAACATGGGGGTTATTTAGGGGCACTGTAGAGGCTATATAGGGGGAATAGGGGGAATATGGGAAAAATGTAGGGGTAATGTGGGGGTACTATAGGGGCTATATAATGGAGTATAGGGGCTAAATAGGGGTACTATAGGGGCTATAATAAGGGGAATATAAGGGTTATCATTATCATTATGGATTCCTGGGGAAGTCTTGGTTACGCACACATGTCACATGATGGTTAGTTAACCTTGCTTGCTGCAGAAGCATGCTACCACAGCCCTTTTTTCATCAATCGTCTGCTCCTGCCTCTGCTGCAGATTGCTTGGACTCTTCCTCTTCTCGAATCTGCAAGATGGAAAAAGCTTGTTTGCTAAGCATGCCGCCCACGAACACAGCATCCTCTACACGTGCTGCAATTGCAAGCTTGACCAAGTCTCCGGCAACCCACTTCCAGCCACTGTTTTCGTGACTTTTTGGGGCTGTTTTGCCACCCTGGTGCAGCATGCGACCAAGATTGGGGCTTCGACAACTGCGGTGCAGCGCCTCGAACTGGAGCAGCGACTGCGTCTCCCCAATAACTTTCACGCGCTGTCCTTGAGCATGGGGCCAGCACACACACACACACACCGCCTTCCCATGCCTTCCCCAAGGAGAACTGGGGCTTTTGCCCTTAAGACATCCGTACTTTGCTTTCAACATCTCGACCACGCCTGTGCAAAATGTGCAAAAAACTGAGCACCTTCATCAACGGCTAGCATGCACATCAACTCAAGCCGCAATAGCTTCCCATCAGCTTTTAACGAGTGAAGCTAGCATGCAGTGCTAAGGCTCAGAAGATGGAGTGAAACAGAGAATTCAGAGCAGACACGCTTCCAACGTCTATTCTAGACGTTATCCCTCGAAGAGCAGCTGATGACAGGTTCTGCGGATCTCTTCCTTAAGGCTGTGATCTTCTAGACATGCCTGGCAATGACCGACGTGGAGGCTGTAGCAGCTTTCTTCGAAGGAAGGAACGGACTGGTGGAAAAAATGTTGATTCGTTGCATATCACGAAGGGCCAACGACAAGTGATAGAGTCTATAAAGCTGGTAAGGCTAGGGTTGAACTGCTCTTGGCTAAACACAAAACTGAGGATGCCCTAGCATCGGTTGCCTTCCAGCCATCTGCTTTCAGCAGTTGGGCTGGATGAGCAAGTAATCGCTTCGCGTTTTGAGACTGACTGCAGGCCCGGCCCGAGGGTCACGTCCGAATTCTGTCAGGGCGGGTTTGTCATCAGTGCCGCAGGCTGGGTCTCTTCGATCACAACACAAGCAATGATGAACAGGATGTAGAGGACAGCCATGCAGCCGCCCAGAAATTTGTTGAGCTTCCACTTGCTGAGCATAATGCTGATGACCGTGCCGAAAACCATCCCCAGAAGCAGGCACGTGTAGAACATAAGGAATGGCGACCTGAGTTGTGCCCACAACCTACACCCATCTCTTTCATGATGCCATAATATGCCATAAGATACCATAATATACTATAATATGCTTGCTTACAGCCTCTGCACCAATCCAGCAGCTTTAAAGGTCCCAAGGCGCCTGATGAAGATGCCTTTGAAGGAAGGATTGCTGGCTTCGATGCCGCATTTCACCATCCATGGAACCGGAAGCCCAACCTGAAGCTCAAGTTTCACACGAGGCACATAGCTGGGATAGGTCAAGGCGTCCTATAATGAATATCGTATTGTATGGCATTATAGGGATTATATAGGGATTATCCAGATACTAGGGAGGGTGCAGCTTGTGCGGCCATGGAAGGCCCTCTGAAGTTTGATTCAGGTGACGAGGATGTCGAAAATGTTGGAGCCCACTGACGAGCTGACGGCCATGTCTGCTTGGCCTGGCATGAATGATGGATGTGCCATGCTTCCTGTTAAGGACATAGACCCAAACTGTTCAAAACCTTAATCTTGCCCAGTTGGCCCTTGCGAGCCACGGCCATAGAGCTGACTGCATCTGGGATGGACGTCGCAGCCGCCAAGAAGGTCAACCCGGAGATGATGGTTGGGATCTGCGCGACAAGGAGACAAGGAATCTGTCGTGTTTCCACAACTTGGAAACCCGTTCTCTTCCAGGGCAGTGCTGAGGCACCGACTCCAATGACTGCAGCAACCTGCAGCGCAGCAGGTTTCCGTCAAAAACAAAAAGTCCCACCTGCCATGAGAAGGCATTATAATAGAGTAATATAGGGTATATATTGGGGTTATATAGGGAATAATGGAAAAGAAAATGGAAACTACCATGGTAGAATAATCAGTGCAAGGTTTCTAAGGGGCAGGCGGTTTCTGTCAACCACACCAGCGGGAAGGAGAAAGCTGCGATCCAAAGAAGCGACAGGAAGAAGGTGACCATGTAGAACTTAGAGCCCTTAGAGGGCCAAGGCCTCAGCGTAATAGTACTAGTAATAATAATAGTAATAGTAATAGTAATAATAGCAATAGTAATAGTAAAAAGTGCGTGAGAAGCGCAAGACCTGTCCAGTGACATAGAGAATTTGCAGGGGTAAGCCCCCGGCAGTGTGAGGTACATCGGGATGTACACAATCAGGCAGAGTCCCCAAATCACTTTGCCAACTATGCCCTCAGGTATTTCCATGAAGTCGTCTGGTTCATCATCGTCCTTGCAAAATGTTGGCTCTGCAACAGCAGGGTGCATGACGTACACTCCCCACACTTCCTCGTCATCATCACCATCCCCGCCAGCATCTTTTCCGTTGTCCTGCTAAGGCACTTTTCAGATGTGGCTTGCCAAGCCCGTTTTGGCTAGAATGTGAGATGCTAAACCTGGACCGATAGTCTCCAGAGATTCTGTCCTTGCTCATGTTTTTGTCGTCCTTGTCCTTTCCTGCTAGATCTTCGGGCTCGTTCCCATCATCATCGTCTATTGGCGTGCTCTTGACCACGACTTTGTCCGGCTCCATGTAGTTGTCCTGCCGCTGCATGTCGCGCTCACCCAGCGACTTCTGTAAAACAGGACGCACCTTCCCACAATAGGGGGGCTCCTATGCAGACCCCGAAATACTATAATCCCTAGACTAGTAATGGGAGCCCCAAAATGGTACCCCTACTGTGGGAAAACCCCGCAAATGATCCTTGGCAGGCTTGGGTGGCTCGTCAGCTTGCTTTGCTGCTGGGACAGCTTCCTCAACTGCCTCCATGGGCTCAACTTTGCTGCTGGCTTTCTGCTTCTCCTGCATGGCATAACCAACTTGGCTAGTTCATGTCAGCGCCAGCTACCGGCTTGATTTGAATTCACAAAGTTCTGACGCCTGAGCCCTGCATTCATGTGAGCAGCCTTATAAACAAGATACAATCGCTGCAATGTTGGCACTAAGCTGGGCTTGCTCTGAAGGATTTGCTCCTCCACATAATCTCTGAGCTCTTTGTTCAGGGGCGTGCCGGTCATCTGGTACCTGAGCGGCATTGGCCCCTGGGGCGCATGACGTCAAACAGTGAGGCATACATCCTGCTGCTTCCTCATTCTCCGCGTAGTTTGGACGCAGCAAAGCTATCAGTTGCTTGCAGTGCACAAGCTTAATCCGCGGACCTTACTGGAGAAAAGCTTTGGCGAAGATCATGTTGTTCCGAATCGGCACACGACAAGGCTACCAACGATGAGCCGTCGCGTGTGCATGCTAATTGCATGCTCTCTTGTGCGCTTTACTGCTTTGTGCCACATTATCCTTGAAGGAGGGCTTAGCGGCTTTCCTTTGGGATGGCCTCTCCCTCCCCCACCCCCTACAGCGCTCTTGGCCGCACCTTCCTGTTCCCGCATTACCATTTGCATCCAAGATGCGCCCACACATTCAGCGGCCGATTTACAAGCATGAACAGCACATAGAGAATGTACATTCCAAATAGAATGCCAGCCTTACAATTTTGGTGCTGAGTGGTGAATTTGTGACCTTACAAAGTTGCAGTCCAACCTCCCAGGGCTTGACATACTGGTCGGAGACGAATGCCGCCAGCACGCCCAGAGAGACAATGTAGTATGAGCAGTCCTGCGGCAGTTGCATGTAACTCAAGACCTAGTCCTAGTGAATCAAGTCAAATACAATCTGGGCAGTCCCTATAGTCCCCCTTAAGTAGATAGAATCTGGCTTTGGGTATGTTATAATAGGATCCCATATAACCCATATTCTATCTACCTAAAGGGGACTATAACCCCTAAAATCTGGGCAGTCCCTGAACAAAGGCCACCATGTCAGATCAATATTTCCTTTGGCCACCCAGCCACACCTTGGAGCATTGGCTTTCAGCACAGACACAGAAATATTCAGAGAGCTCCAGCTCGCATGAATGGTAAGAGCAATAGTAACCAGCTATCATAGTAATAGTAATAGTAATAGTGATAGTAATAACTATAGTAATAGTAATAAGAATGATAGTAAGAATACTAATACCAGAAATAGGAATAGTAGTAATAAGAATAATACTAACAACCATACTAATGATGCGGTTTCTCATGTGCAAGAAAGATGCAGGCCAACAACGAACAGGACGTTAAACACGGCAGATCCCACGATCGTGCCAAAACCAATATCATTCTGTGCCTCGCAGCCCATGCATCCAGCTAGCTTTTTTTCTCCTTCTTCATCTTGGATGTGGAGGTCCCAAACACGGCTAAGCGGTAAAGCGGCAATTGTGGCGCCAATCATGGATGTGAAGAACTCAGGAGCCGATCCACCTGCAGCCATCCAGGTAGCCTGAGTAAGCTGCAGATGATTTTGAAGCTTTCTTGAGATGGCGCTACTAATCCTTCTACTGCACAAACTGTCTGACATATCAAGTGCAGTTGCGCGGCCCCCGCCACGTCTGGCGTCAAATTCCACGTGTCGCACAGAATGTCGATTGCTCCAGCAAAGTAAACATCACAAACGGTGTTTAGTCCCAGCACGCAGTATGCCTGGGCTCCAGCCAATCACAAGGAGGATGAACAGCTCACGAAGCTTGGCGCAATCAAAACCAGCATAAACTGGGTGCTGGACAATCCCAACCACGTGAAACAATGCGAGGAATTTCCTGCCTTCAGGGTGACGGCTCGGATACATGCACGCATAGGGCATGCATAAGGGACCATGAATGATTGCAGCAGAAGAGGAGCCATCAACCAGACGAGAATCATCACCAGCAACTACTCCAAATAAAAGGCTCAATAGCTGCTTCTGGTAGTAGATGGAGCATCGCAGCCACAACAAGCAGGAGCAATAAGAATGAGAGCGATACAACAGATCACAATAATCAATGATAACGATTATCACTGATCAAGTACGAAGCCGAATAACAACCAAAAAAATCAGCATGCATTGCCCGGCCTATGGGCTCATCGAAATATGGTTTATTCAAGAGTAAGTCATCGGGATAGAAGTCAGTGGCCTGGGCATTGTTCAGAGTTCTGGCATCCGATCATGCAAGGAATGAGGTGAAACATGACTACTGCAGGGGCCTAAAGAAATTACCAATATCAGTATGAGGTCCATTTGAGGTACCATAGACCACAAGTATATAAAAATGTGGAAACATCATTGGTAGTTATTCAGGCCCCTATATCATTCGATTCAAGGGTCTTCTGCCTCTGTTGAATTCAGCCTGCGAGGCAGACCTGCCAAGGAGAGATTTTCGGCGGAACGAGTACAGCCGATCTAACAGCAGATCCGGAGTGCCACCGGCATCCGTCTTGTTTGAGCGGGACTTTGGGTGATGTGGAAATCCTGTGCTGAGCCTCTCCTGACTTAGCATGCTGCGCCTGCGCCAAGCAGCTCGGCCGGATCCTGCAACATGACAGCACGCTGAGGACATAGTATTATAGTATTATTAATACAGTATAATTATGGGATTAGTATACTATATTATTAGGCGATCTGACTTCTTAGGTGGCTGCATCAGCATGCAGCTCGTGTCCTCTGCATGAAGAGTTATGAGGCCGCACACAAGCCCGAATCCTCATCGGCGCACAGGCCAGCAAACCCCAACACAATGAAACTTGGCATCTCAATTCTCTTGAAAGTCAGCTTTGCTGCTGGGCAGGTAGGGACATTTGCCGCTGAGGTGCCCAATGACGAGAAGAATGTGATCTTGCGCTGTAGATCTGGACCCAACACGCGGACCTGAATCTGGACCGAGCATGCGGAAACATATCCTGAACCTTGAAGCAAAAAGACACTTACTTGTGCTTTTTTCGGGCTTTGGTTGCACGTGTAGTTTCAAGTCTGGAGGCTACGATTGCGGCTCGGTGGGACCAGGTTTGGACGGTCCAGAAGCAATTCGTACATGCATCCTGATTTTTCAAGCTCCTCAGGCAAATGCCTTTTTTAAAGCCGAAGCTGATTTCCAGAGCTCCAAGAAGGGCATCATTTTTCCATTTCTCGACGTGCTCAAAACCCTTTGCCCAGGGTTTTTTTGGGGCACGGTGACCCAGCGTCGGCGATGCGGCGTCAGCAAAAAACAAGGCTTTCACGCCTGCTTTCAAGATGTCATGTCTGTTCTCATATGTTCTGGCTATTGCTCTTCGCATGCCTCGGGCTAAGCGTACGTACACAGAGGATCACAAAGGCAAGACGCGGCATGCATGGAGCCTACGAGTGCTGGGCAACACGAATCACTTGCACAAGCAGCTTCTGCAAAGAACGGCCTTCTTGCTGAAGCGCAAGCGACCCATCTCGTCTTCTACGCTAACTGAACCTTGCACGGCAAAGCGCTCCCAGCTGGCACATTTCAAGCACACCGTCCAGGCAAGACACTGGTAAACGTCTGAACAGCAGCTCACGAACGCGGCGCTGGAGTGATAATGTTGTGAGATGTTGTGAGCACTGTTGCCCTGCTGACTCTCGATATGTTAATGTGCTCTAGGTATCCACTTCCGGCACTCATTCCTTGTGCCTTGCCTTCTCCATACTCACATGATGCTGTCTGGCTGATGCATCTAAGCTCATATGGTATAAGTGTAAGCTACAACATGGCCGCCGCCTTGGTCTTCAGACGCAGTGGCTTTGCCACTCTGTAAGCCAGGAAGGGTAAAAGGCAACATCAAGTGCGACATGGAGACTTTGCTGCATTACAATCAACAGGATCCTTGTTTCTCATGTTGCCGGGCTAAAAGAGAATTCCGATTTGTTGTATCAACCTCAAAGGCTTCAGTGCCTACAATCTTCAGCAGGAACAATAACCAAGCTTTCTTTCGCCTCAGCTCTGCCAATCTTTTCCCCATTGGAAGTGCCCCGCCTCCTATCCCAATCATCATTCGCACTCCTTGCACGCATGCCCGACTTTTCAACTTTGAGACATGCATGGCAGCTTCAGTCGTCCGCGGACTCTAAGTGGTGAGAGTCTTGTGGCACGCCGATGCGATGCGGGGCTGTCAGCCTGAGCACATGATGCTAACCATTGTGGGCTCTTAAGGAAGCCGTCCGCATCGCCCGCATCGTTTGATGACGTCGATGAGGAAAACAAAGCAACAGCGCAGAAGATGCCAGAAACCTCCTCATGGATCCCGCTTGACAGAAGGGCTATAGCTAAGGCTAATGATGGCTAACGTGTGCTGATGAGCAAAAGAAGGCGCTGGGCAAATTGCGCGGCTTGAAGACCGCGGCGAGAATTGCTGCGAGCTAGTTCACGTGATTGCAGCTTCGTACATACATGAAGATGCCTGGCACTCTTCTTGGAAGCAGTGGCCAGGCGTGTGCACCGAATTTATTAAAGTGACTGTTTTCAAACACTCAGCAGAGGCCTGCTAACTGCTAGCTGAAGGCCAGCAACTAGCTCGGATTGGTCATCAGCCATGTAGGCTGTGTCAGTTCCACCGTCACTGTTGTGATGATGAAAAGGAAATAAAGCCCTGCCATGCAGCCACCCAGCGCTTTTTTCAATTTCCAGCCAGTTAGCTTGATGCTGAGCACAAGGCCAGCAACCATGCCAAGAAGCAGGCAGGTGTACAACATCAAGTAGCGCGATCTGATTGGGACACCTTTGAAGCTTGGATTGCCAGACTCGATTCCGCACTTCACGAGCCACGGGATAGGCAATCCAACCTGAAGTAGGCCAGACATTGCGCGTGCCAGGAAGCTAAAAGGGAAAAACAGCAGGCAGCGTATGTATCCCATATCACATCTCGCCCAAAATGGGACAGATTTCCGCATGTTCAAGCCTTGGCCATTTTCCCTTTCTAACCCCAATTTACTATCCTAGTAGTAGTTTCCATTTTTATTTCCATTGTCCCTATATAACCCCAATATAATAGTAGTTTCCACTTTCTCTTGAAGCATGCCAATATAGCCTTCATATATACCCTTATTATACTATAGTAGCTTCCATTTTATTTTCCATCATCCCAGGAGCAAGAATGTCGAAAATGTTGGAGCCAACAGAGGAGCTGACAGCCATATCTGCCTGTCCTGACCAGGGCATGGTCTACAAATCCCCTCCCCGAAATATTTAACCTCTCCGCCCACCCCCCTCCACTAGTAGATGCTCCCATCCTCTTATACTATAGCGCATTGGGCATATTTAATATGAGGGTGTGTGGGGGCGATTAATATTAGGGGAGGGGATTACATGCAAGTACGGTGGCCCGCACTTTTAGACTGAGGGGTTGTTGTGATTGCTATTGCCATTATTACTCCTGCTATCATTGCTACTCTGTTCTTGCATGTAACTTTTGGTTATTCCAAATTCCCATACAGATTTTTGATGCAATGCCCACGCAGGCTGGCCCTCCGCCCAACCCTCGCACCCTACCGTAGTCACTGCGCGGAGCACCCCGCACCTTTTCGCGCGACAGCCATTGAGCTTACAGCATCCGGGATGGAGGTTGCGGCGGCCAAGAAAGTCACGCTCGAGACGATGGTCGGAATCTGCAGCATACAGGATTTTTGGCTGGTCTCCCTTCCAGCAGATGCAATGAAACTTACTGCGATTTGCTACTTTTGCATGATGGTTGAGGCCCCAGCCGTCAGAACCTCAGTCACCTGAGCTAAGCTGTGCTGCACGAGAACCTTTGCTTTCGCATCTTTCTGATCCCGCCGGGTCACGATTTCAGTCCACCAGAACATGCAGAATGAAAAGCCGCTAATCCACAGCAAAGACAGTCCGAAGGTTGCCAAAAACCATTTGGAGCCTTTGGAAGGCCAGGGCCTTGGCTCTTGATTGCGACAAGCATGTCGATTGCATTAAGCCCTTGAAGCTCCTTGCTCCTAGCTGAGGTCTTGGCAAAGTAAAGTACAGGGGGATGTAGATGGGCAAGCAGATGACCCACAGAATGCGCTCTAGCGCGCCTGCAAGGTCACACGATGTTCCAATCACAGGAAAGCATACAGTTGGGGTGTATTTCCTGTATGTTACTAGCAAGAACAGATATGATTATGCAGCTGCTGCAAGAAGACTCTGCGCAGAGCTTGACAAGCAACTCTGATGTGCCTTCTGGCATAATCATGAAGTCATCTGGTTCGTCATCGTCGTCTTCATCGTCGCCGTCTGCATCAGCATCCTGCATTACACTTACATGATGGATTGGCGGCTGGCACTGCCAGATCCCTAGATAAATCCCATATAATCCCTGCATAAACCATAATTGTAGTAGTTTCCATTTTGTTCTGAATTATGCCCCAACTCCCATCGCTGAAAAGGGCAATGCTACCTCTGACCTTGTCATCTGCTGACTTGGCCAGCTCCACATCTTCCTTTCCATTCTCCTAAGGCAACATGGACAGTGACCTGCCCATGACACCGCAAGGCCTGCTAGTTGCTTTCGAGCGGCTGTGCCCTTCTTCACCACTGTGTCACACTGCATGTAGTTGTCTTTTGCTTGTATCTCGGGCTCCTGTGTCACTACGCAGCTTGTGCCCAGTGTCAAGCCAGAGGAATGACCACTTTGATTTTTTTGAGGCGCCAGTGCCTGAGGCTCTTCCTTCTCGGCGCTGCTGCCAACTTTCTCCGGCTCTACTTTGCCTTTCATTTTGTTCATCTCTTCTACATAGTCGCGCAGCTCCTTGTTCAGCGGCGTGCCAGTCTTGCGGTACCTCGGTAATGCCAAGACTGCTAAGATAGACGTGAGGTCACTGAGAGGCTTCTAGAAACTTTTCGCCCAGGGTGCGCCCACACATTCAGTGGCTTGTTGAAGAACATGAAACACACATAACCTCCGCCGCTGACAACTTTGACATGTTTGCGTGTCTCTGGTTGGAGTCGGCCGGTAGCTCACCTTCTTTGCGTGGGCAAGACCTTCTTCTTGCTCTTCTACAGGCTGAGGGGGACCCTCAAAAGAGAACGCCCGAGTGTGCATGATTTTTTCCTTTGCCTTCTTCTACAGGCTCCGTGCCGGCTGCAAAGGGAAGGACCAGTGCAATGCCCTGAGCCCACCTAGGGTGTTTTTGCCGAGTTGGAACTGAAGGCGGCCTAGGATGTTGCACATGATGGCAGTGGGAGTCTCAGACCATTCAGAATTCTGCTGCTGCAACATTTTGGAATAACCGCCACTCGCACAATCCAGGAGCTCCCATTCCAAAACCCCCGTTCTAGCCAACATGGCAACGTGGGCATGATCTTCTTCTTCTTCGGGCTGTAAGCGGTCCTGCGACCCCTCGCAGGCAAAGCCTGCAGCCCCCGCAGGCGAGCAGAGGTCCAAGTCCGGTCCCACCCAGGCTACACGGTGCGATGCAGTCCCAGCAACCCAAATAACAAACAACTAATTAAAGGGATTCCTGGCACTATATCGCAGCATGTCACGTTCCTGGGGCGTGAAACTCATCTCTGAAACTGAGCTCTTCTTCTTCTATAGGCTATGCGACACCCGAAGGTGTCGCGGAGGCGAACCTCCAGCCCGTGTTCCATGGTCAATAGCTGATCTCTTCTTCTTCTTCTCACTGCTCTACCTCCCTCGAGAGGGAGGCCGGGGCAAAGCCCCAAGCAGGTCATGAGCGAGCGGAGCCATCCCAGGTCCCGGCGACATTCACACTGTGTGATCTCTCTCTCTCTCTCCCCAACTTCAGTGAACCCCAGCTCAACATGCAGGCGGGCCTATGTACATGATGAACAGGATGACGGCCTGCAAATGCGCATTCCAGTCTGTTGCCATCCTGTTCCACTAGGGTAGCTCCCAAAACTAGGATCCCAGTTGGGTACCCCTAATCATTCGGTGTAGTAATATAATACACAACCAAAAGGGACCCGTAACTTTGAGAGCAAACCTGTCTCGCCCATGAAAGCCCTCGTGTGCGCCTCCCATGCTTCTATTACCTGGTCGTATGTGAAGGAAGCCAGAACTCCAAGGGCTGTGATGTAGTAGGAGCAATCCTTGGTACAGTTCTGAGGTCCTGATCAAGCCTAGATCTACAGTTGAAGGATCTAGTTCCCTACAAGTAGCACAGCTTCTTATCTTCAGTTGCATCATTTAGCAGATGTCGTGCTGATGGTTTCGCTAACGCATGACCAAGAATCTCTGAACAAAGGCCACCAGGTGAGCTCAATGTTACCCTTTGCCACGTAACCGCACCTGACTGCCAAGTTTTGGTGTTCTCCATCAGTTTGTGACACACACAAAATTAACTACAGCTTCCAAAGCTGTTGGCAAGGAGCAGCCCGATGACAAATAGGACGTTGAACACTGCAGAGCCGACAATCGTGCCGAATCCAACGTCATTCTGCGCCTTTGCGAGCGAATCATGCTTGACAAGCAGCCGAGAGAAGATCCGGTAACTCACAGCAAAGGCACAATGGTTGCGCCAATCATGGAACCAAAGAATTCTGGAGCAGAACCTCCAGCAGCCATCCATGTTGCCTTAGCAGGCAGAAATGGCACCGGAGTTACGTCCTAGGGCAGACAAAGGTGTCTTGTTAGAAGGAATTTCAGGAAAGCACAGCCATCTCATTCAGGGCCGGTAAACCACTATCTCAGTATTTGGGAACCGTGCGTAGAAGTGATATTCTTGTTATAATTATTGGCATTATTGTTGCCTTTATTAGTACAATTACCATTTTATGAGATACGACATGGGAAAGCGTCTTTATTCCCTGTGTAGGGCACTACAAGCTGTTGCGGTAGGCCACCGCAAAGAGGAAATCAAAGGCAGGCCCTGAGTTATCTGATGGCAGCTCGATGACTTAGCACTATTGCTATTGTGGTTATTGTCACTAGTAGTAGTAGTAGTAGTAGTAGTAGTACAACTACTACTTTATCATCTTCAAAGAGCAGCCTCAAACTTCCACGTCCATATCCCCTTGAGTAGCAAAACCTTTGGTTCATAGAAGAGCTTCTCACTGAAACAGGTCAAGTCCCTTTTATGTCCGTTGCAAATCGCTTTGCATCACCACTGCCGTACGCACTGGAACAGCTCTATATGGGCTACAGTCTAAACTCTTAGTATCCCCCTTAATAACCCCTACAATACTCCCCTATATAACCTTCCTTTAAGGAGTTTAGACTATAGCTCACATGGCATCACTCTTTGCCGCACCCTGCTGGTTTACCTCACTCTTGGCCAGCTGCCTGCAATGACTTACCTCTGGCTAGCTGGGAATGAAGGAATCAAGAGCAAAACTGCCATTCGATTGGGGATTATAATGTTATATAGGGACAAGCGGAAAACAACATAGAAAATTAAATTCACTCTGGGCTGTGGGGTGTGTAGGGGTATATATGGTCTGCGAAGTAGTTTCACAGGCTCTTCTACAGTCAAGGAACACCAGCGACATCGGGAGTCAGGTTCCAGGTATCACATAGAATATCAATGGACCCGGCAAAGTACACGTCGCAAACCGTGTTCAGGCCAAGCACCATGTAGGCCTCAGTTGGGTTCCGGAAGACTCAAATGATGATTCTGCAGATTCTACCATACACGGCTAAAGTTGTAAACCCCAAACACCTTGCAGCGGCAACTGCAAGGATAAGATGGGTTGGACGACGGGATGATGGTATGCTTACTGGGGCTGTGGCGATGCCCACACAGTGCACGAGTGCCAAGAACTTCTTGCCTTCAAAACATGACTGCTGTTCGAGGCAAGTTGAGACCATCAACGCGCAGCAAGCACGGCAGTAGGCTGTCAAACGAGCCTACAGGCTCTTCTCCATATGGCTTATTGAGGAGCAGGTCGTCCGGATAAAAATTCTCTGGCAAATCCTCAAGTAGCACATGGAACTGGTGCGCAAGCTTGCAAGACACCCTCCCTCAAATGCATTCAAGGCTCTGATGCTGTCTGATTGCCGGCTAACCTGCGAGCAGTGCCTGAATGACAGTGGATGCAAATAGATGGATGCTTTGCAGCCTGATCGAGGACTACTGCAGGAAGCTGAAATCCCACCGTTTGGAATCGGTGTCGATTTCATTTTGATTTTCTTGTCCACTTGATTCTCCATTGTTGGGTTGCATAGGGCCTAGATAGGGACCATATAGGAGACATGTAGGGCCCTTGCAAAAAGAAAATGGTGCTATTTTTCTGTATATGATGTATATGGATTAAGCCTGGTTCAGGGTGATGTCATGTTCCCCATATGAAGGGGCAACCTTCCAATCCAACCTGCTTCATCGATCGACACTGTAGCTACCAATCAGAAGTCCGTACTACTGGAATACACCCAACGCCCGAACGGCCTGAACTTCCCTCTTATACCCCAGTTTCCATTCCACCTTTCATCTTTTTCCATTTGATTCTCCATTTTGGGGGCGGATGACCGCGCTCTGCCTGGTGCAGGTTTCAGGATTCATGTTAAAGCGACCAACTCAAGCTTGTATTTCCGGTCTATGGGACTGAGGCAGCCAAGTTGCTAGACGTTTCGTGTCTAAATTCCTGCATGAGATCGCGAAATCTGACACGACGAAGCACATGCAAGATATCAATCCAACATCCCAACATGTCCTAACACCGTCATGTCAATTCTGAAGCTGCAGTGTCTGTCCTCCACAAAGCCCAAGGCCACGAGGGCAACTGCAACGCCTGGATGTGCGAGAGTGCGATGGGATGGGTACTCGTTCTAGCACGGAAACATGTATTTTGGGATGCACTCCACTTTGGAAACTGCCCATCTGGCCTAGCGAGCAGATGGCATTGATCTTCCTTCGAGCGGATGGCTTCAGCTCGCGCAATAAAACCTGCTAGGCCACTCAGACAACAAGATTGACAGCACGAATGACCGTGAGGATGACAGTAGGAACACCAACAAAAAGTAAGTTGTTTTTTACCATCATCCTCTGGCGAGAAGAGATCTGCGGCAACAGTGCAACCAACATCAGTGATAAGAGCAGTGGTCGTCAGTTGCATCATGCTGCTAGAACATCCAGCGCGCTATCTGAACCAGCAAATGGAGACACTCACACACTTTTTGCCCATGGCCTTCCGTCGGAACCCTACCAGGCCCATGATGGTGGGCAAGATCTCACTAAATCCTGCCAGCGAGAACTGATGCAACTCAGTGGCCATTTTACTGTCTTGTGGACTGAAGCTGGTCCATGGTGCTCCAACAAAAAATACGGGGTAGCACTTGAAGCCTCCTAGTGTTACTATTGTTGCTATTAATCGTATTATTGACACTGTTGTTGCTGGTACTTTTCTTACCATTATTAGTATTGTTCCCAAGTCGTAGGTAGGCATATTACAAAACACCTTATGTTATCCCCAAGGTACTTGGGCTTTGCGTGTGCCTAACCCTAATTGAGCTTTGGTCTAAACTCCGAGCATCCCCCGTAAGAATCCCCCCATAATATTCCTGTATATATATATATAATGCCCCATATTACCCCCTTTAAAGAGGTTAGACTATAGCCCTATTCAGCCTGTCCTTTTGTCAGTTGCTGCGGGCCCAACGCGGTGGCTTTCCAGCGTGTCAGGCCGGCTTCTCAATCAAGGCCACCCTCTACTTCCTGGGCTGTGGGTCGCTTGGGATAAGAGGTACCCTTGTTGTAAGCAGCTTTTGGGCTTGCTTCGGAACGCTACTTGATTGACAGGCGTGTTGAACTGCATGACTATAAAGATGCCCTCAGAAAAAAGTGGATTAAAAAAAAAAAGTGGCGCAGAAGTCGCTGTGATAGCCTTGACCTAACCGCGAAGTCCCCAAGCATGCCTGGAGCCAAATGGGTTGCTGCCGCGCGTCTCAACAGGGGATCTCGGATGTAGGCGTGCCCTAAGGCTTTAAGCTACGCAGTGCTACCTAACCCTGAGATTGGAGCCCCTGCACAGCTGCGCAACAGAATTGCAATGCATCAGTCTTCCTGTTGCTAGAAGCCACAGGTGGGAGAAGAGATGCCCCGGTCAGAAATGTAGTGCACGGTCATGGACGCACAAGCAGTGCAGCTGGGCCAATTACTGCATTGCCTCCAACTCCTGGCACGTCGCCCATGAGCAACTGGCCGCTGGCTCCGTCTGCCTTAGCTGCTAAGCTGCATCTCCGCAGGCACTTGAGGGGCTGGGCCCGGTGGCCGAAAGCTGCCAGCGGAGCCGTGGCGCGGGGGCACTGTCAATGGTGAGGCGAACAATTTTCACAACTCCAATCATACGAAGGGCTAGAGAACTGGCTAAATCCCATGACTCCCACCGACCGCACCGTTGTCACCACCATTGCCCCATCACCGCCCATCGCCCTGGCCACATTTCATAGTATATATGTGTGTGTAATTTAAACCCTGACACCGCACATGGACTCTTTGTGTTGTCCTTTTCACTTCAGCACTTCTTTGCACAGGCTTCTTGGAAATCTGAGCAAGGGTGATCTATTGGCTATATGGGGCTCGAAGTTCAAGATCCAGGAATGTCTCAAACCAAGTCTGGATGTCACCAGTGAACATTGACCAAAAAGACTGAGGGTCTTGAGCTCGATCTTGGCTCCCAACAGCCTCCAGTGTCGGATTGGTCCGCAGGAGGCAGACAAACAGTTTTACTGTGGTGCCCCCTGCAGTGGCAAAATATTGCAACAAGAAAATGGTGGTCGTACAGAGTCATACAACCTTTCCTGTACAGCTCCTCGTGGTGCCTCTCTGTGGTGAACTCCTCAAGCAGCATCTGAGCCCTTCATGCTTGAAACCGGTGGGAGGTTTACTTCGCTGGATTTGTCCACTGATGACTCGCAGCAAGTACACCAAACGGATGCCTTTTCCTGGGCTGCCTCAGCCAAGTCTTCCATTTTGTCCACAGCAGCCTCACCCATAGCACGTGCCTTGGCTGCCATTTCCTGCCACGGGACCGACTTGGCTGCCTCCTTCATTGACACACCCATGGATTTGGCTTTCTCCGCGATCTCGTCCCATGGAATATCCTGCAAGGTCAATTGCACTGACAGAATTTCATTGACATGTTGTGAGAATTTCCCGCGAATTTTTTTTTAAGCGTCTCAAGCCATACCGTGCTATCCAGAGACTCTTGGAACGCCAATCACTGTTGCATGAAGACGCACCGCCAACCGACAACCCTCATATTCGCTTCTCTGAAGCCCAGGTCGGTGGAGGACCTGCCCTTCAAGATTCAATAACTTACTGGGACTTAAACTGCATGAAGGAACTACTAACCCCTAGTAAGATAGGGATAGAGCAATAAAGCAATGATTCGTGCTATGCAGGTTCCGCTATCTGACCCGTGCTCCTGATGCAAAATATTGGCCTGGCGGGAGAACCAAAGAATCAAGATTTGACTGAATACATATGCTTGAGAAAGGAAATACAACAAACAACTGTCAACACACATCGTCCACGTGCAGCTTTTCCAGAACCCACATGTAACAATCTGTGCTTCCAAACGCAGCCAATTTCGGGCAGTTTTGAATTGGGGCCTCACTGCTAACATCTGACATGTTGATGATTGCATTTGACGCCTCCGCGCGGCGAGCACTGCAATTGTTCATGGAAACTGCACTGCCCGCAATTGGCTTTTGCGCGCCCAAAGAAGAACAACAGAAGGAGCCTGCTTCTACTCGGCTCGACAACTCCATCCGAAGAAAGGAATGCCTATGTTTTTGGGATGCTTTTCTTTGTATTGATTTCTTAAATGAGGGTGGCCCTTGCGCGGAGCGTGTTCGAAGTTTGGCCTCTTCCATCATGTTCAATGATTTTTTCTATCATGTTCATCATTTGTATCACTTTCATAAGTCTGTATCATCTTCATGATTCTTCGGCACTTGTCTATCATTCTCATCACTTACTTGACTTCTGCCTTCTTTCTGTTGGCTGCTTGGGTTTTTGGCTTCTTGGAATCTTTGGCTTTCTGGCTTCTTGGATTTCTGGCTTCGCGGTCTCTGTATTTTCCTGAAGTAGTAGTTGTAGTAATAGTAGTTGATGATCAGTAAGGGAGGGTTATGCAGATCATTTTGTTTGCAAATGAGGGGTGCTGCGCCCCCCAACCCCCCCGCCTTGGTGAAGGCCATCAATGCCTGCCGTTGTCGTCGTTTTCAATCATCTCATTACTTTCCATGATCCCGACACCCATCCCCTCCATCTTCTGCGAGGCCATCTAAGCTTGCCGGAGTTATGTAGATCATTTTGTTTGCAAGTGGGGGGGGATGCGCGCCCCCCAACCCCTTGGTCTTTTGTTAGTGCCATCCATGATTCATCTTCTCATATCATCTTTATGGCCTTTAATAATTTTCATCATTCTCAACATCAGGTTTCTTGTTTTTTGTCGTTTTCAGTCGTTTCCATCATGTTCATCCTCATACTTTTTCATAATGTTTCATTGTTTTCATTGTTCATCATTATCATCATTGTTCTATCGCTCTCATTCTTTCTCTTCATTTTTCATCATGTGTCAACACTCTTCATCATTTGCATCACTTTCTTCCTTTTCATCATTTCACATCATGTTTAACAGATTTTAATCACTTTCCATCATTTTTTTATCATTTTCATCATTTTCACAATTTTCACTATTCTCCACAATTTTCTCTCGTTTTTCTATCGTTTTCACATGTTTCATAATTCTCCACATGTTCATCATTTTCCTATTGTTTTTCATGATTTTTCATAAGTCTCATCATTTTGGATTTATCATTCTCATATTTTGTTATCATTCATGTTTTCCACGATTTTTCTATCATTTTCATGATGTTTCACCATTTTCAATTTTTTTCTACAATATCATTTTCCTAACTTTCATGATTTTGATCATCTTCTATCATTTTCTATGCTTTCCATCCTTTCTCTATCATTTTCATCATGTTTATATCATTCTATCGCTTTCCATGATTTTTCATGATGTTCATCGGTCTTCACAGTCTTCGCTTCAGAATCGCGCTCTCGTGTGAGGCGTCCCTCGATTCCCCGCCCCCAGCCCCTCAAAAAAAGAAGTCCCAAACAAACATAGAGTCACAAAAGAAAACTCCACCGGCGAAGGAAAGAGGCTCTTCAGCAGCACTTTTGGCAAATAATGCCGTTTCTAATTTTGAAACTGCTAGCACCAAAGGGATACAGTAGTTGCTGGAAGTCATGGGACCACGCATCTGGGTGGGAGATCGGAAAAATCTATGGGTTTCAAAACAGAAAAGATTGCATTTTTAGTGGCAGGAGCCTCATCCCAGAGATGGATGCAAAACAAGCAGGAGAAGGGGAAGGTATCAAAACAAACAAAACTGAAATGTGCGTTTGATCCAGGACTTTTTTTGATACGGGCCGTTCCGATGGTTCCCATGTATGTTTGCTAGGCTACAGGTACATCTTCAAACATGTACTATACCGAAGTGGACAAGATTGCTGGAAAGCCAAGTCTTCAAACCTTCTCGGGCGCACTTAAAAAGCAGCGACAACGCAGCCAGTAATATCGGCTGCAAACAAAATTGTTGTCCTTGAAACAGGACAACGCGTGGCCCTGAACTTCGGAAGGTACCATTCACTGACATGCGTGGCCAAAAAGGACGTGTTGCTGTCCTATGAACACGGCAGGCGCAGCGATTACGTCACGTCCGACCCTTAGTCTTGTTTGTGTTCGTTGCTGTTGTTGCTGTGTTTAGGAAAGTGACTGCTTGGCTAGCAAACGGCATTGCGAGAAACCTCTTCCCACGGCGGGTATGTTTGCTACTGCACCCGGTGAAAGACACGAAGCACATGGCTGCCAACACGCCGCTTGCTTGCTGGCGCCGGCCACAACCGCAATTCTCGGCTCACCACCATGCCTTTTGAGAAAATCAAGAACCTTTGCTGAAGGGGCACCAGGTAATCGAGCCAGCAATGATCCAAAAGAGGTCACAGTTTCATGTCTGAAGCATCGCCTCCAACATGGTTTGGCAATGTCTCGCAATTATTCCAAGCAGAAGCGCAAGCGATCAGCATCCCGTGCTTGCCGTTCCTTCCCATTCTCTTGCAAAGGTTTCGCCGTGGAAGAATGAAAGTAAAATGCCATTCTTGGAAACATATAAGGACGTCATATGCATACACTGGGGATGGATTTCTCAAAGGCTCCTGGGAAAAATGCACGGCGCAGGCAATTGATGCAAGCTGCAAGACGAAACAGTAAGGAGGGCAACATGGGCAACCATGCAGGGCAGGGCGCGTAGGGTTTGGGGCGTGGGCAAGGTGTCGCACTGAAACTATGCCAAACCTTTCCATAGATGAGCCGTGGTCGGAAAAAACCATGCCAGTTCGTGCGGATTCAAGAAGACGAAGAACAAAGACAAGGAAAACACAAACTGCAACAGCGCCCCCGAAGAGGAGCCAACAGGCCACAGGCGTGCGGTGCTTTGTCACGGGTGGTGACGTTCCGCAAAACCGCGCACGCCCTTTTTTTCAACCTGCCTTGATGCTGTAGCGTCAGAGCCTATCCTGACACACTTTTCTCACCCCCCCTACTAGCCTACAAGCACAAGCCGAAACGAAGCCAGCATGAAACCTTCCAAGCCACAACCGCCAAGATTATGTAGGTGCAACCCGTAGTTTCTACTTTCTTGTCCCTCTCTCTCACGGCGACTCGGTTGACGTCAGCGCCGAACGTGCTCGCTCTCAGAACTGAGCAAACTACAAAAGCAATACTCTACGTGCACACAGACCTCCATGGCAAAGCAACTTTACAGAGACCTCACATGATGAGCCCACTCATCGGATATCTCTTCTACTGTAAGTTGCGGCATTCTCAGCGTATGGTGATGAAAGACTTCCCACTGCAATGCACATCCATGTTCAGCAATGACCGACTGGGAAGAAAGAACTTGAAGCAGGAAAACATCACCATACAGCATGAGAAATAGTGGATTGAAGCTATTATCCCTATATAACCCCAATATATTCACTCTGGAATAATTACACACTAGCCATCCTTAACTTCAAACTGGGATATTAGAAAATGAAATGAAACTACTACTTAGTGTTTAGATTTTAGGGTTTAGGGCCACTGGAAGCCTTGCAAATGGCAAACCTGCCAGCACAACCACATGGATAGCTCCCAAAATTAGGGTCCCATTTTGGTACCCCCCCCCAAATATTAGGTGCCATAAAAAATCTACAGCCCGCAGGGGCCATACTTTTGAGAATAGCCCACATAGCCCAAGTGTTTGAGCGCCCTGCCCCGAACCCCATGACTCACTCCTTCAACTGTCCGCAAATCAGCCTAGCCCAGCGGCTATCATGAAAATGATGCACATAGAAACATGATAGGACTAGCTCCGGCAAGAGAAGCATGTACAAGAATTGTAGCATTGTAGCAAATAAAAACGAGAGCAATGAGCTGATCAACCGCGTCCAACCAAGGGCCAAGAAATGACAACTGAAATCCCAAGGCCAAAGCCAAAGCTTCAAGAGAAAACATCAACAACTCAAGATCTCTCACTCGGGTTTAGAAGGAACGGTAAGGAAACACTTCATACCAATGAGGGAAGGGCCCCCAGAAATTACACCTCAACAGAGCTAAGTCAAAGCACAAGCGAAACAATTCTTACGTCTCATTGGCTCATACTGTTGTCATGTGTTGTCCTTCGCCATACGAATTCTGACTCTCTTAACACTTTCCTGTCCTCGACTCTCTCTTTGATGGAGATGCCCATCGCCACCGCCGCTTCCTTCATGGAGACGCCTGTGGCCTTTGCTTTCTCGGCGATCTCGTCCCATGGAATGTCATCAAGTTTGTCCTTTATCGCGAGACCCATGTCCATCGCTGCTTCCTTCATAGAGACGCCCATAGCCTTGGCTTTATCGGCAATCTCCTGCCATGGGACCGACTTGGCAGCCTCCTTCATTGACACACCCATGGATTTGGCTTTCTCCGCGATCTCGTCCCATGGAATATCCTGCATGGCCAATTGCACTGACAGCATTTCACCGACATGTTGTGAGAATTTCCCGTGATCCTTTTTTTAAGCGACTCAAGCCATACCGTGTTATCATGATTCGAGATTTCAAGAAACTCTTGGAACACCAATCACCGTTGCGCGAAAGTGTGCAAAAAGACAAAGGAATGATCACGTGCCTTTACCCACGCTTCCGGCACGCTAGCCCCCTAATGAATTCTCTTCGAACGGCTCTGAAATCAAGCGCTGTGGCAATTTGCAAGCAAAACTCCTAGCAATACAGTGTGATCCCATAGTCAGCATCCCCTTGAAAACTGGGGCATTGCATAGAGTTAGTCCAACCTAGGGCTAACAAATGACTCCTGAAGTCTCAAGGCCAAAGCCAAAGCTTCAAGAGAAAATGTCAAGAACTCAAGATCTTGCACTCGGTTCAAGAACCGCAGGGAACAGCATGGAACCACTTCATACTAAAGTGAACAAGAAAAGCGTATTCTAACCAAATTCTGGCGGTCATCAACTTCATTAATTTCTTAGGAACCTGAGGGACTAAATCGACGTGCGGCACAGCAAAGCGAAGCAATCGTTACGACTCATTGACTCACTGAGACTCGCTGTGTTGCCCCTCACCATACGAATTCTGACTCTCTCAACATTTTCCTGTCCTCGACTCTCTCTTTGATGGAGATGCCCATCGCCACCGCCGCTTCCTTCATGGAGACGCCTGTGGCCTTTGCTTTCTCGGCGATCTCGTCCCACGGAATGTCATCAAGTTTGTCCTTGAAGGACTTCTCTTCCTGGCCTTCCCTGTTCAGCGGAATCATTTCCCATACCTGATCTGCGGCGCCGGGCCAACCTTTCGTTGCTCCCCAATTCGTCCCCTCATGGGCGAAGAGCCTCCTGGCGACGTCTACACTAGCGTGCTGAGTGAAAGAAAACGATCCAAACCATGAATTTGCATGGGATATAGGGGCTATGTAGGGGCTATATAGGGATAATGGAAAAGAAGCTGGCAACTACTATAGACTATATTCTGTAAGGATTATCAAGGGTTACATAGGGCTACTATAATGGGGTTATAGGATTTGGAAGCTAGCCTGCGACAACGGTATGAAATTGGGCTGGGACCAGGCAACATCTCTGTCCTTCCACTGCCTTCGTTCTCGATGATCACCCCTCGTGGATCTTTCTTCAGCTTCCAATGCCTTAGAGCTTTTAGAATGACAGAGCTGAGGCTGGAGTCACTCACTATTTGAATCACAAAAGATCACGAATCCTCATGCTCATGTTGTGGCAAGGCCGAAATCGCTGAACCTGAACATCTGAACGCTGCCCAGCAACTGATCTTCTCCCTTTCCGGGGTTTGCAAGAAGGATTCCTTCCGAGAGGTCTTTCGACTGTAAGGTCTGGCAGATCAGCCGTCTCTTTTCTCCAGGGACCTCAATGTGCGTCTCCGACCAGACTCTCCTTAGATGTCCAAGTACTCTGAAGCGAAGGATAAATCCACCATGTCGTCGTCACATTGTACAGCTCCAATGAAGACACAGACTTCATCCCATCATTTGCAAAGGTCAAAACTGGTTTCTGGTGGATTCCAAGCTTCCAAGCCACTTCATCCTTCGTGAAGGGGGCATCCTTGGGCAAGACAATCACTTTATCATCGCGCCGAGCCAGGTACCTTCCCCTCTCGGCATTTTTGAAGCGAACCATCACAGTTGTCATGGCAGAAGCTGCGCAGTCTGGCAGAAGCTCCCCGCACTGAACTCCCTTCAAACGGCTACGGTTTGGCGCTGAACAGAACCCCAAACATGACTTCACAGATTTTGACAGGAAACAGATCGGTCTGAGCTGCATCTTCCAAACTTCCTGCAAATAAAGGCTGCTCAGCCATTTCCCTCTCCCACTTCTGAGACAAGAACTCGGGGACCCCATCCACAAAAAATCTGTTCCGTCGCTACAGCCATTAATTGGGCAGGCACCCTGACACAAGTCACTCGAAATCTCAGAATCAATAGCTGGCGGCTTTGCAGACCGTATCTGCCCCATACTAGTGCTAAGGCAACAGAGAACTCAAGCCAGCAAGTCATAACTTGCCCTCAGAACACTTTGCTTGGGCGAATAATAGTAGTAATAATAATTTTTCTAGTTGTAATTGTAGTGGACATAGCAATAATAATAGTCATAATCGTAGTAAGGAGCAGCTTCATCATGCAGGCTTTGCAGCTCAGGCGGTTTTGGTCACAAATGTGTAGTAGGGCTGCTGCGGAGTCTGCAGACGATGCAAATCTGGACTCTGTGATGGACACTTCCTCCAGGTGTATCTGCATTCAGATAACATGTGATGCGCGTTGTTTGTTGGTCTGGCTACTGGTCAGTTGAAAATTGGCGAGCGCGTTGCCGTTTTCCAATGTTCGGGGTGTATGTTGGAGTCATCTTTTTTGGTGAGTGTGTTATCGTTTTCCAACCCCATGTCACGAATCCACTGTCCATCCCTAAAAAATTCTCCTATGACCCATAGAAAACCGTGCATTATGTGAGGTCTTGGCGTGTGTCCTCCGGCGGCGCGTAGAGGTGAGCCGCTGCCGCCTCCTGGGGATGGAGCTTGTAAGCGCACACCTTGCACGCACCCGTTCCAGTCCTCGCAGAAACTGGGCGTTGCAGGTCCAGGCTTCTCATCATTCTGCGGCTTCTTGCCCGCCGCCAGATTCTGACACGTGCTCCGCTTCACATGGCTTAGCGGCTTAGCAGGTCGCACATGCTCTGACTTACCGTCAGCCTGTAGGATGCTGTGCTTTTCTGCGCTGATCTACTTTTGGCACTTTCCTGCTCCGAGCCTCCAGCTCCATTTCCATCTCTCGCGCCTCACCGGATCCAGATGGATCAATGCACGGGAGGAGAGTGTGATGCACCTTCTTGACTCGAGTCTGGATGACGGCCACAGAATCTCGACAGCCTCAGCTTCCACAAGGGAAGACTACAAATGCTCCAGAACCGTTTTAAATTACATAAGCTTAACGATACACAAAACTCAACCTATCCTTTTCCACAAGCTTGAAGCCATGAAGTCTCGTTGTGTCTCGTTTAGGTCCACAAAGTTTTGCGTCAAGAATTCCTCCTCGCCGGCACGAGGCCCCTGCCTGACATTGTCCCGGCTGTGATGACCCTTCGCTGGTCCACCTGGGCCACAACTTGGCAAGGCCAAAGCAATCTCACTAGCAGTCGCAAACATTCACTGCGCCAAACAACAACCCACACCACATAGGAAACTTACGAAACATTGTGATCATGTACTGGCTTGACAAGAGCGTCCGCGAGACTTACAAACTTCCGCTCATTCTGCTGAGGTGGTCGCGGGACTCATGGCTCGCAGGATAGACACTGCCTTCAAGCATGATCATGCCCAAGCTGTTGTAGCAAATGGGAGACCAGCCTCCCCCACGAGCCATCGATCATTGGACTTCAGAAATGCTTCGAGTTCCTAGCAACCCAGGTGTGGATTTCAGTGTGATTGCAGTCAATGGCTTGGAAGAGATGTAGCGCAGGGGCCCGTGCCTCTGGTGTGGCTGGCCTTTCCAAGTTGCGCAAATTCCAGTGAACTTCTAGGCTTGTGTGATTGTAGCTTTTCATCCCTTCCCGAGGTTGTGGAAATTCCAAAAGGCAGCCCAACTCACGTCTCAGGAGTTTTCCAAACCCCAATAGGGGACACCAGCTGTTGGGAATCCAAGGACTGAACTTTGTCAGCTTGCTTTCAAGCCCAAGTAGGACGGCCTTGGCTTCCCAATACTAAGCGAGAAAAAAAACCTTGGCGTCTTAGCTCTGAGAAGCGTGCTGGGATGGTGCCACCGCTGCGGACAGCTGCTGCCTTCAGTCGCAGCAACACAGGAGTCAGGTAATTCAGGTCGAGGTCCCTTCGATTAAGTGCTGAAGCATAGCTGGCATAGCTGCCTAGCCCTGCCTCCAGGTCCTTCGCTTTGCGCACACGGGCCTGGAACAGCACCAGCCGCTCATAGTATGCGAAACAAAGTTTCCCGACCCCCTATTACCACTCTTCCAAAGTCGTGGCTCCTGGATCACTGCCAAGGGATTTTGCACACTCGACATGGTACCGGCGCTGATGACCTTCGAACATGAAAATATTGAGTACAGCTTCCAAGCAACGGAATGGGACCAAGTTCCTGGCCCTCCTTTGATCCTCGGCACTCATGCCTCGGAAGACCTCTGAAACAGCTTGACAATGCGTTACGCCTCATGGATTCTGAGACTTTGCTTCTCATGTCAATATAGCCGTGCCTTCTCTGCGTCATCAGCCAGCCAGCGTTTGTTCTGAAGCACAAATGCCTGAAGCAAAAGCAGGGCCCATTCACATACCACAATATACCACAATAGACTGTAAGATGTTGTAATACACTATACTATACTATACTATAATAGACTATAATATATTCATACTACAATATACCGAAACCAGAATCGACTATAATAGATGATAATATACTATAATATACTAGAAGCCGGGCATTGGGGGCCTCGACTTCCTCACTCGACGCAGGCTTGATCCGCACCTATAGGTGGTACCAGCGATGTGTCCAGCCAGACGTGGCTCCTCACTTGCCTCCTGGCTGTCTTTGGCCACAGTGTGGTGATCCGTATCTACCTCAGATTGGAAGCGGAGCGCAGTCCACCGGCATGCGAAGGGGATATCTCAGATCTGGACGGTTGGTTCCATGACGGCCTGTTACTCAATTAACCTGATTGTGGAAAGCCGTCAACCGTCCAGCTAAAACTTGTCTTTGGCGCTGTGCAGAAGGGAATCAAAGGAAAAGTGGCGCCTCGAGGTAATCGATGCAACTTGACGCAGCGTTGCCAAGCAAGCTTCGCCATGGGGACTCCCGTACAGGTGCACTAGTCGTTACTAGCCTTCTTTCATTGCCGGGAGCCTTCGTGTTCTTTTGCTAGCATGTCTTTCGAGTGCCGTGCCGCATCCACATGAGCTACGGTCAATATTTCCCAACATGTTCAAATGACATGGGCTCCTTACAAAGGAAATGTATTAGGGACTAAGGAGCCCTGCGTCCACCCTTAATTGTCCCTTGATAGCCCTAGTATTGATAATGAGCGTCTTCCTTAGAGCAGCTTGTTTCGGAACAACAGCTTGCTAATTGGGGTGTGGTCTCTCTTGGTAGGATTCCAAAAGTGCACACATCTGAGGCATGTAGTGGAATTCCAGCATGGCGCAGCTTTTCCGATGCTGTCACTCGGCCTGAGTTCTTTCTAGGATGTACCCTCCACGAGGCCTTCGGTCAAACTGTATCCATGGAGATTAGTGCAGCATCCATGGATTCAGTGGTCAAGACTATCTTTGGCTTGTCTCGCCGGTGGCGTGCGCGCTATCCCACGCTCGGGATGGTCTTGCATGGCCTATATGCTGCGTACCGGAGAATTGGGGATAAGCGCGCGTGGCAGTGAAAACGAGGCAAGTTACCTCCTCAGCGCAGATTCTGTCGCACCCTATTGGTGCAGGGGGCCGTTCAGCCCCACACTACCATGTAAGTTGCCCTAAGCTGCATCGGAAGACCGCGCAAACTCTAGTCAGCTTAGCATACTTAGAGGACTTGCAGAATGGTCGCAGTCTACCTTGCGATCCTTGATGTGACGAAGGGCAGTTCGTCGCCTGAAGTTGCAGATAGCTGGCTACTGCAGCATGACCCACCAACACATGTTCCATCATGATCAACCCACTGAGGGGCATGATGAACTTTCCAGAAACCCTACGAACTATGTGGCTGCTGCATGCTGCCATCTTGCACTTTCAAAATTGCGACATGCCCGTCAGGCACGGTCTTGCTTTGAGCAACCTCAGCTTTGAAGGCCACGCATTCCCGCAGACAACTCAACAAGAATACAAAACCAACAGCGGTGATGCGTAAGAACATTCATGCGCTTTAACTATTGCAATGACAATGGCTCGGCTGAAAGCTTGTTCAAGTTGCTTCTAGTCTCCTAGAGTTCCACCGACTTCAGTCAGCTGTTAAGGCCCCTGCGTGAAAGAGCAAATAACCGATTGAATCCGACGTTCCTGCCAAGCATCGTACAAGATCTCCAAGACATCTTGTCCAGCTACATGAGGGTACTATCGTTTGTCTCATCCACGGTCGTGGTCATTTTGCAGGGGCTGCCTGGACTTCTCCAAAAACCACGCTGCAAGCACCCGGGCAGCATGATTCCGGCGTGCAGTGCGCAAGTTGGTCTTGTTTATCACATCTCATTCGTAGCGGCCGCGATTGTTCTTCCTGTCAGTGCTCGCTGTGGCAGAATATAAAGGCATGTTACCCCCTGCAGGGAAACACCCTGGCATGATGCTAGCTTGACCTCAAACCTTTCGGTCCTACACGCTGTTGGCAAGTGCACAGGCTGGAAAGCACGCACATGAGTAAGGAGATGAACTAGTCCCTGGTACGAACCCACTCTTGCAAGAACGGAACCCAGCCCTCTAATCGCAAAACCTGCCTTCTGCCCCCAAGTGATGGCAGGCTTGGCTCAAAGGCCCCAGTTGCCCAAGATCCTGCCAGCAGTTTGCCATGGAGGCGGCTTGTGAGTAGTGCTAGTTTTTGGTTGAACCAAGATCGAATATTGTTGTGAACTACGATGTCAATAAAGAGGATAAGAGGATATGAGTTTATTGGGGACAACACAGTACCCGCACTCAAAAAATCCCTACTTTAAGAGAAGTTCGTTTTTCGATGGGGAAGTGTTAACATTTTAATGAGGCGTACGTGAACAGAACTAAGTATGTTTTTAACAATAGCTGATGTGCAATCACATCCCCCAACGTGAAACACCCCAGCCCCTGATATCAAATACTTTTTATATACTATGGTATACAAATTTTCGTAATATTAGGGGAACGGATTACTCCGGGAATCTGCAGGACCCTGAGACTGAGGAGCGCACCCAAATAAGCCCTTCTTCTTGTCGGCCTGACTGCCAGCCCGGCTGCACTTTGCCAATCTTGACCGCATCAAGTCAAGCAACTCATTTACGTTGCCAACATGTTACCTCCCCCAAACTAACAAATAACTCACTCTGAAGGCCACGGTCATTTCAGAAAACCCATGGCTTTCAGTAGGGTAGGCTTGCCTTGGACGTCCAGCGTGAAGCCTACCACAACCGGGCCTGAACGGCATCATCCGCAATGGAAGCTGCCAGAGCATCGATCTCAGCCTCAGCAGCTTGTCGGCTTTGACTTGGAACCGATGTAAGATTGAGTATGAGCTCAATGATTTCAAGTCTGCTAAATTATCGCAAGTGGGCATTGATTTGCCCGAGTGACTTTCTTATGCTAATAAGTAAGGACTACGCAGACTATGCTCTCTTGCATCACGAAAAAATGGAGGTGGGTACGGGAAAGTCTGGGATTCTCGCAGAGTCGTTTTGCTTCTTGTCGCCTGACGACTTCTTGGTCTTCTTCTTTGCCTTCGGCTGGGTAGTAGGTTGCATGCATCTTCTGTGACAACCCCTCCTTTTGCCGGATGCAATTCCAAAGCCAGTGGGTTGGCTGAAAAGTTAGATGTTAGACTGGAGTCCAACACATACTGCGCCAACCTGCCTCCGGGCCTATGGCTGCAAATCTACTTCAGAACAGAAACCTTAAACCCTAAATCGAACTTTAGTCCCCCTTAAGTAAATAGAATATGGCTTTGGGTATGTCATAAGAAGATCCCCATATACCCCACATTCTATCTACTTCAGGGGGACTATACCCTAAACCCTAAATGGTAGTTTCCATTTTCTTTTCCATTATCCCAATGTAACCCCAATATATCATATAGTAGTTTCCATTATGTTTTCCATTATCCCTAAACCAACCCTGTGGCCGAGGCAAAAATCCTTTCGCCTTCGGGGCCGCCTTGACCTTTGCTCGCGGCTTGCTCTTTGGCATGGCGTCCTCCCAAGAAGAGCTGCCAGCAGGTAAGATAAGTCTTATGATCTGCAAAGCTCTGGCGCTTGGGCCATAAGGTAATCCTTTGATTAAGTATGCCGGTTTTAGATTCTAGGTCAGGAGATCAGCCTAGTTATGTGTTCTATAGTTGCGAAAGCTCCGTGGGTCACAACAGGTCTTGCAAACGAAGTTGTCTTTCACCACCCGTCCTCCTCTTCTTCATCTTCGTTGCCAGGCGACTGCTCTCCAGCCTGCTGCAGACACATCTCGAACAAAGTCTTGAGGACACCAGCGCAGCATTCGCATCTTTCTGGCAGGGTTTGCCCAGAGCTCTACAAACTCTTTGCTGCCCAAGTAACACGCATACATTTCCGCTTTTTCGCTGCACGGACCCTACAGCAACATCTGCCAAGCCACGGTGTCGGATGTTGCTTCCGCTTTCGGCAGGGTTGCCGCTGACGGCTCTGAGTCTGCGGCCTGGCAAGACCCAAATGCCAGCAGGGATGCAAATGCGGGTTGGAGAGACGTACGTCTGCTCATAAGCCTGAAAGACTTGTCTGCATGCTTGTGCTATGCTGTGTATGAACTGTTTGTGACACATCACATGAATGAGGGCCCTTGGCCTTGAGATCGCCAGCGGGTTCCTCAGTGACAGCCTCGATCGGCTCGGCTGGTGCCTCCTGCAGCGCAAGGGTTGGGATCCCACAGCTCCATCTTTTTCTAACTGCTGTTGCTGCCCTTTTTTGAATTGCCGTCAGTCATGTTCTGCGACTTGTCCTCCACAGGCGCTTCCACCACAGGCTCTTCTTCAACTGCAGGTTTTACAGGAGGTGCCTGGCCACATGATTTCACTTTTGGGGAAGAACGAACCATACACGAGACAACGCTGAAGCAGTCAAGCAGCAAGACCATTGCATGTTGCGCATACCCGCCACCCCACAACTTTGTTAAAGATTCCCACCCCTTGCAGCTCGCAGTATCACCTCTTCCTCCTCGATCTTTCCATCTTGCAAGCTCCGAAGCTTGGCTTCAACCTCAACAGACAGGCACACTGGCAGGGTAAGCAGTTGAGACAGGAGTTTGCACTTTGGCCTCCGAGACCGTGCGGTCCATATCAGCAACCTGCAGCTGAATCTTGGAAGCACCCTTCCCTGGACCTGATCTGAGCTTCCCGCTGCAGCAACCAATTCGGATTTTCTGCCAACCTACCATATGGTGGGGCGGTGCTTCTGACAGCAGCACGCATGGCCAGGCGCCTTTTCTTGCACTTCCGGCAGCAGGTCCGCAAAGGTCTGCCCCTTCTCCGCCATCTTGGCCTGATAGTTTGCATGCTCGTACGATGGTTGATCATCAACTGGAGCAGCCTCAATTGCGTCAATCTCTTTGATCTTCTTGAGGTTGTTCTTTTTCTGCTTCTGACAGGCCTCGCCGACATGGAACTTCTAGCAGGGATCAGACTTCCGCAATCCTTGCTGCCTGCTTCTTTTCTTCGAGGGCCTGCGCGGTAGCAGGCTGCATTCAAGCTCCTACTGCAGCTGCGCTGCGTGCACAGTGAAACCTGCGACGCCATCACATTGAAGAAGAGTTGGCTCTTTGGCGTGCAGCCGGAAAATGACTTACTCCCCAAACTGTTACCCCAATCTCTGGACCATCTTATGCCGTAGATGTGCCATCACTCCAATCGTCCTGCCTGCTTTTCAGCCTCCAAGGCAGCGGCAGCAGCAGCAGCGGCCGCCGCTGCCTCCTCAGCGGCACCTCGCAAGGCAAAGCAGGCGTCTAACTGGAAAACTGCTTTAACATAGTCAGACTGTTTTCAAACAATCTCAGGCTTGCAGAAGAACGTTCTTAGAGCGTGACGTGCAGCTGCCACCTCCGGATCCTCCGTAAACGGCTTGGGGCTAGGAATCGTGCAAAGCAGCCAAGTCTGAACTGCTCCCTCGGCCTCCTCCTCTTCCTCTTGCACCTCTTCTGCTTCTCCTGGCATTGAACTCCGCAGCACCCGGCAGTGCGCTTGCTGGCGGACAAGGTTTGGATTGGAACGCGCGTGGGAATCCGAACAGGCGACGACCGCGGCAAGGTGCGACACAAACAAGGAAGCACAAGCCATTGAAGGAAGCCCTTGAAGTGCCACAGCATGCTATTGCACAACCCTCACTGCTTGTCTCCAAGTGCTGCGCCTGTCTCGCCGCCCTCTTTGTCGTCCTCAGCCTGGAAAAATCAATTGCCAACATGGACCATGCATGAAATTTCCCTGCATGGCCACCCCCGCACCTCCACTGGAGCAACTTCCTCCTCAACCTTTGGAACAGGTACGGGCTTAGGTAGGGAATGTGGGCATTACGCTCTGAACCCACCCAACGCGCTAGACCGACCCCAGGCCTAGTTATATAGTTACTATCTTACCCTGGGCAATCACGTGATCCATAGTCTACATAAACTCCTAGCATCCCCCTTACTTACCCCTACTGTAGTCCCCTATATAACCCCCTTTTAAAGGAGTTTAGACTATGGCTCATGTGAAAGTCCCCTTTGCCACCACATTCCGAAATGCAAGCTTGCCTGCGCGGGCGTCTCCTCCACCGCAGGCTCCTGCGCAGATGTTCCAAGCCAACTCGGCTCTGAACTGCCCTAGATTCCCATGACTTTTCCCGTCCATAGTATATCTTTCAAGAATTGCATAGGGATCATCTTCTCTTTTTTCCTACTCCTTATTCCTAATTCTTAACCACAATAATTGTCAGTATGACCCATCCGAAGCTGACGAGTTGTTGTTTGCCTGCTTACGCCTTCACATTGACATGTTTTTGGGACGTGCTGGTTGCGGGTACCATGGCCTCTCTAGCACATGATGGTTGATCTAGGCTTCCCATTTTTCGATGCTGAGCTTGCTTTACGGAAGTACTAAATGCGCGGCACACTGCCCTGCCTAGGAAACCTTTGCACATATGGTAGTTTCCCTAAATAAGGGAACCCGAATATGGACCCCAAGATACTACAATCATTATAATAAACACCCAAAAAGGTAACCCTAATCTTGGGACACCCCCCATATAAGAGTGGCACCAGCAGCGTGGTCCTGCTCCTGCTCCTCTTGTTTCTGAGCCTCTTGCTCAAGCTCCTGGCATGGAAGTATCCTGGCCTTTGATCCCAACTAAGCATGAGAAAGCCTACAGCCAAAACCCTTATCCCCAAACTTGTTTTATTCTGGGGAGGATGGCAATGCCTCACAGGCTGCTTGCTCGAGCCCTTCGCAGAAAGGCATGGCAGCTTGAGGCCAGGAGACCATTCCCCGGCCAATGAAGGTGTATCCCGTGATGAAAGATACCCTTTTCCCACAAGGCAGCTGCACCTGAGCGAGGCGTTCGAGCTCTGCAACCTGCTGCTCCAGCTCCCCGCGGCGCTTAATCCTTAGTGGCTCTCTGGATTCAGTGCGATGGCGAATATCAGGCGTCCCGTGTTTGTTCGTTTGATCATCATGTCCGAAACCCATCTTTTTGGTACAGTGGTGCGCTAGCTTTTGGGTTTCGATCATGTCTGGGACAAGACCACAACTTGTTTGTTGGCTGGGGCCCGTGCTTGTCCTTCTGGTCATCAGAGAGGTGGGAATATTTCACCTTCGAGAACCAGGATGGCCAACATCTGGATTTACTTGCCCAGACAAAACCCTTGGACCCTATGAAACCCGAATCCTTACCGCAAGGATCCAGAAAGGCATGACCCGGCGTCTGCGTTGTCCGTTAGCGAAGCTATACTTGGAGGTTCATGGGTCTCGGTAACTACTTATAATTGGGCTTATAACTTATAATCCACGCAACTGGACATATCCAGGTCATCCAAAATGCAAGTATGGCAGTACTTGTTAAGTCCCATGTACCTCCAAGTAAAATTCTCCTGTGATCATCCTCCGTATGCAAAACATCAGCTCACCAAATTGTGGTTTCCCTACATTGAGGGACCCCAGTATAGGCCCCGCCAATAATATAGTCTTTATTATGAAGACGCCCGAAAGGGGACCCTTAGTTCTGGGAAACCCTCACACAAATTGAGCAGTGGCCTGCTTTGCGGTGAGTTGCGCCTTCGCAATTAGTCAACTTTAGTAGTAGCAATAGTCATGGTGATAATAGTGACCCGTCATCTCAATAGTAATACAAAAAATTGGTGATGGTTATAGGAATAAATAAAAAACCATGTGTACATATATATATATGTATATATGTATTATTGCTAAAGCTCACGGCGGAGTGGCTGTTCTGCGCCGTTGCTTCTGGACTTGTAGCAAGCTTGTGGTGAGGTTTGACCCATATTTCGACGTAGAAAAATGCTTGGTGCATGACCAGTAAGCATGATCTCTCAATGGATTTGCTTCCTAATGCATGCTTACACGCATCTGTAAACACGGTACCGTTTTTTTTTTGGTGGTTTCATGAACACGGGGCCCCCAAGACAGACCTGAAGTGTAGGAAGCGCCTTAAAAGTCCCAACGCATTTTGTGGAATCTCCCATTTCTTTGTTAACGCATGGTAGGTTCCAGGACTACGAGGGTCAGCGTGGGCCCTCTGTTTGCTAGCTGCTTCCACCCTGATGTGTGGAGTGCTTTCTTCACTTTGCCGACAAAGTCTTACAACGTGCGCAGTGTGGGGGTGCTGCGATCGCGGGAGCAGTCACTTTTTTCGTGCGGCTTTCGAGCTAAGACCTCCTTGAAGACACCATCAGAACCTAGATTTATGAATATCTCAGGTACAAGCCAGGCCAGAAAACTGTCCTTAAGACACTCCCAGCTGAAGCTGGCCTTGATTGGGCGATGCCTTGCAAGTGTATCATCTGTACAAAATGCACGCATGGGCTCTGACATGGTGCTAACAAAACTGGCGACGGCTTGGATTCAGCGAGCCGCTGAAGTCCAAGTGCGTACTAACACCGCAACATACCGCAACTCAGCTTTCCTCAGAACATGGTAGTTTCCCAAAATAGGGGGCCCCCAATATAGACCCCAAAATACTATAATCCTTAAGATAGGGATCCCTAATTTTGGAAAATTCCCACATTTCAGAAAACTCTCAGAACCCTTGGTCTGTTTGGCCAGCCGGCCATGCGCTCACAGCAGCCCCCGAAGCTGCCTTCTTCTGGCGCCACTTTTCGTAGACTGGTTGCGCAGCCACCGCGGCTCGCTTAGAGATCACACAACCACTCCCACAGCAGGCCATAAGCAGGAGCAATACCAAGTAGCTGTTAAGAACATAGGGCAAGGAGTCAGTGGCAACTGCTGAAGAATTTCCGTCGAACCACAGACACACACTGTTGATGCAATACCGAAGCCCGGTGGACGGGGGGCCATCATCGAAAACATGGCCCAAATGTGCTCCGCACTGGCTGCAGTGGACCTCTGTGCTTCCAAACTGCAGGATGTCCTTTCGATACCCTATAGCATCAGCGACTGGTGCATCAAAGCTTGGCCACCCGGTTCCTGAGTCGTACTTTTCCTTGGGCGTAAAGAGCGGTGCACCACAGCATGCGCAGCGATAAACGCCTTCCGCATCGCGTTCGATCTTCCCGTTGTGCACACCAGTGAACGGTCGCTCTGTACCGCCACCAGCACAAACCTCACTTCAACCAGCCGACATAAAATCATAAGACCTTCATCCGCTTGACCTAATGACTTTCCTCCAAGTATGCAAAGCTGTGCCTTACTGCAACTTCAAGGATCCGCTTGGAACAGATCCCGTCCATCAGGGATGGGTCTGGTATGGTTGCACTGCTGCGCATCCATGGAAGTCCCCTTGCTCCCCAAAAGGTCTAGACCCCCAGCTGACACAGACCTTAGCATGTTCAATCGTGCTGGATGCGGAAAGGGCGCAATGAGCTCAGACTCGATAGAATACAATTGCAACTCACGTTGCGAAATTGCTACACGCGTCTCGACGCCAGTCATTCCCCAACGTGGGTTCCCTACACTACGCCAGGTCACCCCTTACGTTGGATTTAATTCGGGCGACTTATTTCGCCAAAGGATTCCTTGCTTGCGTACAAGGAGTGTTTTGTGCGAAGTCACGGGCCTTATACCAGTGACATTCTGGGAGAACATGCTGGGCGTGATGCTTAGCTGTGCCATCAACAAGTTTCCGATTTCAAGCAAGCGGCATGAGGATGAAGCAAACCAGCAAACAGACCGCGCTGGCAGCAAGCGATGCGCGTGGGCCACACTCCATCGTGCAGCTTGGGGGGCAGAGGGGTCTGCGACGGAATGCCTATCAGAACTAGTCCGTGATTCTGCCGAAGATGGATACGTCAATGAGAAAGGGATTGATAGTTGAAGAGGACTGGGCTTGTGCCTGGGCTCGTGTCCCTCTGTTCAAGGCCCTTCGCGTTCATCTGGGGTACAGAGCCTGCGCTGCTCGAGCCAAGCGTGGAAAACGCGAGTGCTTGGGGCAAGGATCTTGCACAACGGGGCCAAACTAGAAGCAATCCCTAGCATGCCGCAGCGCTGTACAGGTAGCAGGTGCCTGCAGGCCATCGATCTCCTTCAACTTCTTTTTGCACAGCTTGTGCTGGTTTCGCTGGGCCTGACCGGCTGCTTGGCAAGAGTCACTCCAACATGGTTTGGCAAGCTCCCGACTGACAAGGCCCATAGGGCGTCACAAGCACGTAAAACAGCTAACTGCAAGGCCATGACGGCAAAGATGCTGAGCCACAGGCAGTGCTAAGTCTCTTCAGAGGATTGCCTGGAAGCAAAAGTGAGAAGCTGCAGGTTGGAAGGAGGCTCGTGTATCCTTCAACGCATTTTGCTGCGACGGCGCACTGAAGCACGAGTCCCCCAAGAGCACACACCCCGGGCAACCGTCCAGTACTTGAGCAACACAAAGGACACAAAAGCTTGAACGAGCATGAGAGGTGAACGCCATAATCTTCCTCCTCCTTTCTATCATCAGTATCATCACCATGCTATGAAGGCAACGGCTTTGCTGTGTTAAGCCAATTCCTGCAATTCGTATATAGCCTTTACCCTAGTTTCCATTTCATGTGCCGTTTTCTGCCCTCTTTTATTATCCATCATTGTACCTCAATCTGGAAACCTTTAACATCCCTGTATTACCCTGCATAACTCCTACATAGCCGTAATAAAATCCCTCTTCAAGCCCGATACAACCCCTACCTAGCCAAAGTCCCTATTTACAACCCATCTTTAACCCCCATGTAGCCCATTATAACCCTATATCACACCTATATAAACCCTATATAATATATCACACCTATATAAACCCTATATAGGCCCTATATAATATATCACACCTATATATAGACCCTATATAACCCCTTTAGAACCCCCCAAAAAAAGCCCCTGTAAAACCCACACTGGGATGCGGGCTCGGAGCGCTGGGCGCGGGCTGAGGGGTTTCGTCGACCGGCTCTGGGGCCTGAGCTCCGTGGAGGTGGGGGTTTCCCAAAATTGGGGTACCATTTTAGGGGTTCCCATAATAAGGACTCTAGTATTTGGGGGTCTATATTGGGGTCCCCCTATTTAGGTAAACTACCATATGTTGGCATGCGTACTATGGATGCATTATTCGTATGTGTGTGCATGTGTATATACATAGGTATAAACTATGAGGTACATATGTATGTGGATACATTTCGATTTGACACCCTCCAACTCTTTAAAGAGGAACTCTATCAGATGAATCTGGCATGCCTCCGCCTCTGCCACCACCTTCTCTTGCTTTGCAGCTAGCGCAGCCGCCTCTGCGCGTTCCTGGCAAGGGATCAATCCCCTCCCCCTAATCTTAAACCCCCCAATGTCAAATACTCCCTTTATGGTATCAAGTCATATATCGGTAATAACTAAATATCAGGAGGGTGGGGGGTTGAATGTACGGGGGAGAGGATTATATGGGACTATGATAGGGATCCATGCCCTTGCTCCTCCTAACCACCAGCAAGGCGGCCTTGCAGTTCCATTTTCCCCTACAGAACATATAACCCCTATGGAACCGACCACCTGGATATTGTGTAACCCCCTATGTGACCCTTCTGCAGTCCGTATAGAGCCTCCCAAACAACTATAAGCTATCATCTAAACTCCTAGTATCTCCCTTCATAGCCCCTACAATACTCCCCTATATAATCTCCTTTGTAACCCCTTCAAGTGTTTAGACCCTGAACCAGAATCCCTAAAGAATAATGGCCCTAATCCCTAATATAAACATTCTTCCTAGTATCCCCCTTAATAAGCCCTATAGCCTATATCTATTCCCCGATATAAGCCCCCTTTAAGGAGTTATAGATTCGCCCTTGGATACTGCCCCCCTCCCTCAGTAACAGTTGGATAATCAATAAAATATGGTTATATATAGCCCTTAATAGGACCCCTAATATGAACTGTAACTGGGTGGGGGCAGTGCCCAAATTCTCCCTAATAAACCCTAAACCCTAAGCCCTAAACCCTAAACCCAAATTATCCCTAATATGAGCATTCCAGGCCTTGGCTTCCGTGGCTTCTTTGGCCTCTTTGGCCTCCTTTGCTGCCTGCTGAGCCTCCCGAGCCTTCCACAACGAGGGGATTTGGGGGTTTCCCACAATTAGGGGTACCATTTTGGGGGTCCCAATAATAAGGACTATAATATATTGGGGTCTGTCTTAGGGTCCCCTAATTTTGGGAAACTACCATTTAGTTACCCCAACCACAAAATGAGGACCTGATGACTATCATATGGGTGGTTGTCAAAATTATGGTCCCTGTTTGGGTACCCTAAATATTAGGTGCCGTATAATAATAGGCCCCCAAAAAGGGACCATAATTATGACACCCATGTGAAGGTAGTGGGGTCCTTGGGTGACCCAAATCCCTTCTTATTCCCGGGGCAGAGCTCACTCGATGCGACGGCTTTTGTTACGAGCCTCCAAGCCCTAGGGCTTGGCTGGGACCAGCACGTACTACGCTGCATACCAGCTCTACCGCTAAATTGCTCATGGATTTGAAAGGAGCTGTGCATCTGAGTACTCCCAAAAATGGGGTCACATTTGGATACCCTTAAATATTAGATGCCGTAATATAATCTGTAACCAAAAGGGCTCATAATCTTAAGAACAACCCCTGGAGAGTCTGCTGCCTCTTCCTGTTGCTTGCGGCGCTCAGCCTGCTCATCTGCACGACGCTGCTCTTCTTCCTCCTCCTTTTTCTGGCGATCTGCTTCCTGCCATATCATTGCCGTGGCTGCACAAGAAATAGATACTGTGGTGGTTTCACACGGCATGGCAGCTCTGCTGATGGTATTTTGTCTCGGTGGCAGAGCAAGGCTCACAAAACACCTTTTTGCATCAGCGCATAGCATGATGATGGCCCAGACGTCTTTGGTCTGGCCGCGTCAGCAAAGGTCCGGCCCGCTCAAGACCACCCCAGGCTGTTCCAAATGGAGGATAGCACCTAGACAAGGAAGAATAGCATGGGAGTTTCCCAAAAATTAGGGTCCCCCTTACATATCCTTATATAAGATAATCGTTCTCATGGGCCCTGCCAAAATGGTACCCCTAAGTTTGGGACACTCCCAAATGGATGCTGGTTTGAACTATAGACGGTGAGGAGATGCAACCTGCCATTGGTTGCAACCAATGAGTGTCATAATTGGCAGCGGCTGCCCTCAACACCCTAAACCCTCAACCCTAAATCTGGATCCCAGGAGCTTTCCGCTTTGTGACTGCTATGATACAGTATGTGGCTATAGTCCCCCTTAAGTAGATAGAAGATGGGGTATATGGGGATCTTATTATAATATACTCAAAACCATATTCTATCTACTAAAGGGGGGACTATAGGATCAGCATGGTTCTTTGAGCTACAAGAACATGGTAGTTTCCCAAATAGGGGGACCCAATATACACCCCAAAATACTACAATCCTTATTATGGGGACCCCCAAAAGGGTACCCTAAACCCTAAACCCAGGCCTTCGACTCCACAGCGCCGCCCTTCTGAGATTGCCTGTGCAGGGTGTCCACTATATGGGGGTTTCCCAAAATTAGGGGTGCCATTTTGGGGGTCCCAATAATAAGGACTATAGTATTTTGGCGTCTATATTGGGGTCCTCCTATTTTGGGAAACTACCATATAGTCTCAGCTTCCATTTGTTCATGTTCCATGTGATGTTCCTTTGTACTAATTTCCGTGTTCCTTTCCATTTTCATGGGGTAGTTCAGCAATCGGTCGGCGAACGCTCTGAGGAAAACACTTCTTCTCCTCATGCTGCAACTTCTTTTCTGCTTTGAGCTCCTCAGCTCAACTTCAGGATGATGATTTCTGGACACGGGGCTCCTGGCCCTGCTAGGCCAAGCGTCCTCTTCCCGCAACTTCTTGAATTTCTTGCGAGTTGCCTTACAGCAAGACAGCCTGGTCTGAAACGCGGCTTCTAGGTGACTGCTTGAACACACCCTCTTTGCCTTCAGCGTGGCTTTTCTCTTCTGCAGGATCTTTTGTAAACGCTGCAGTCGCGAAGCCATCTCCTCTCCCGAGCATTCACGTGCCTTCATGACTCGTCCTGAAAACTTGAAAACCCAGTTCTTAACTCCTAGACTGAAAGCTTAAGTCCCACAACTTTACATGTCTTCCCTGACTGATGTCTCAGGTAGCTGTCCTGCACCTCCTGGGCAGTGAACGCAGCCTAGCAGGCACTTCAAAGCAGGAGAAGTTGATGTCCTCATACTTTGCCTCTGCAGCACGGCAAACTTCCCTGCCTTTTTCTTGGGGCTGCTTGTGTGCTTGATGGCATCCATCCTGGATCGGTTGCTGACATCCAATGCAGGATTCAAGCCAGGGGGAGGTCTACAGCATTCCACTTCATCCAAGCGGAATGGTATTCAGAAGGTCAAATGGGGTCGAGCCACTGCTTCTCTTTCGCTTCGATCTTTGTGGCGAGGACCTTGATGGCCTGCAAAAAACATGCTTGGCAGATTCCGCTTCATTCGAGAGGCGATCGGACTGCGACTCACAACAAGAGTTGCTTGCCGGTCTATGTCCTTCTCGAACTTTTTGATTTGGCCTTTGCCATATTTGATATCCTCCTACAAGGGGAATTAGGTTCACTGTCAGCTCGTCAAGCTAGCTGCATACGGCGTGGCCCCTCAGAGGTAGGTCCTCGAGCCACTTCAAGGACTCTTTCTGCCAATTCTGCTTGTCTTCCAGAGCCCTCACAATGTCCAGCTGCTTCTTGGCCAAGGAGCGAGCCTATAAAGTTGAGAGGATGCACAAGGCCTTGAAGCCTATGAAGCCAGGGTTTAGGGGCACATTCGACTATGACTAATTGCCAGGACCAGCAGGAGTTTGTCTAGATTTCAATACTGCACCTGGCCTGCAGCATCTTGTCCCGGAGTTTCAGCTCCTTCTTTTGCATATCCTGAACAAGCAGGGGGTAATCCTGGCTGGATGAACTGCCTATCAGCCAGGGGTTGAAAGGATCAGAGGCTCGCGATCTGCTGACTGGGCGCCAATTAATGCGGTGGCTAACTTTGTCTCTCCTCCTGTGCAAGATGTTTATCCCCGCTGCATGATACATAGCATCAGATGAAAACCGTGCGTCCCCGACGAGAAGCCATCTAAGCACCTTTCTCTCCGCGCTCTGTGAGGCTCCAAGATGGAATTTAGCTACCCGCTGGGATTGGGCTGCGGGTCAGGAGGGAATAGTCGGGGCGCTCCATAGCAACAAGACTGAAACTACTATGTCGTTTACTGTGGTTCTTTCCATTGATTTTCATCTATCATCGAGCACAACATGGAAAGCACTACATATTTGATAAAACTGTTGGTCCTCGTACTTCTCTTCAGCAACGACGGCTGCACGCAAAGACTTCTTTGCCTCTCTTCGAGGGAGCGGATCAACTCAATCGGGCCAATAGCTGGAATGATCTCACTGGTGCCCAAGGAGGGATCATGATCCCTTTTCATACCCCTATTACAGTTCGGCACCAGTAAATATTGCACTGTTAAGTGTTGACTGATGAGGGTTTCCTGACAAGGCCTGCAACGTTTTGTGAGTCACAATGCCTTGCAAGCGTAATCAAAGTAATCTGCCCCCTTCCTTAAACCTGCTTGACATGCCATTTAAACAAGTAGGGCCTGAAATAAGTTTGAATGGAACTGGTGCTTCCGCGAATTACGCAGCATGACTTCGGTTTACCCAACGAACTCAATGACATACTCGCATTTCTTGGTCCAGCGCCAATGGACACTGCTAGTTTCTTGAAAGCTTACATCTCCAGCACAAATGGGAGGGAGAACTTCCGCGCCTCCTTCTGCAGTTCGTAGCGCTGCTGCCTGATGACTCGGGGCTAAACAGGTGTTTTGCTATGATCGTGGTTCCTGCAGTTTGCCTAACTATGTCCACGACATGTGTGGCTTTGCTCATAGAAACTTGGCAGTTTTGTGGGGAGCCTATACATCCTTGAAATTCTGAGGTATGGACGCAAATATAAAGAAAATCATGAAATATGATGACTATGACGAAATGTGTTGATAATATGCTGAAATGATGAGAAATTCTAACACATGATGAAACAGTATGAAATTGAAATACGATGAAATATGATAGAAACTGATGAAACATCATGAAACTTTTCAAGATTGATGCAGCATGTGGAGAAACTCTGGCAGACCACGGAAACGGCTGAAAGATGATGGAAGATGATGAAACATGATGCATATGATGAGAAACTGTTGAAAATTATCAGAAAGCATCAAAATGAAAAGCAATGATGAACAATCATGAGAAAGGCGAAATTATCTACAACGATGAGCAGTGGTCAAGCATGGATGGCCTTGACAAAAGGCGGTTGGGGTTGGGGGGGGCGCAGCACCCCCCTTTTGCTGACAAAATGATCGGTATAACCATGCCTTACTGCAAAGATAGTGATGACATGACGCGTCTTTGTTACGGCAAGCGTGGATGGCCTTTGAAAAAGCGAGCGGTGCGCGGGGAACAGCCCCCCCACTTGCAAACAAGATGATGGAAACTACTGGAAGATGATAAAGACTATGAAAACCAATGCAATAAAGATCGTGGAAGAGCAGAAGGATGGAGAATGATTAGAAAATGACGTTCATGAACAATCATGAAAATATTGAGAAATGATGAAAATAATGAACAAATATGGCAACAGCTGAAACCTGATGGACATTATGAACATATGGAAAGATGATGAAACATTGTGACACATTGTGGAAAAGGCCAAGTGCTAAGCAGAAACAAAGAAGCAAGCAAGAAGCAAAAACACAAAAATCGCAGATAGCAGCGATCGGGAAACTGAGTGCAATCAACGAGAAACAGGAAGCTAAAAGCAGAAAGCAAATCACACTCAGGAGATCGCCGGCAGCAAAAAACAGCAAGAAAAAAGCTGACAGCAAAAGTAAGAAGCAATAAAGAAAACGCTGAAAGCAAGAAAAAAGAAGCACCAGGCAGAACGCTACAAGCAGAAAACAAAAGCAGAAGGCAACAAGCCAAAGCGACAAGCAGAAAGCAAAAAGCAAACAACATGACACAAGAAGCAGAACGCAGAAAGCAAGATGCGAGGAGCAACAAGCAGAAAGCCATAAGCAAAAACACAGGAAACAACCAAAGATCAAAAACAAGTTACTCAAAAAATAATACTGTCTGAGGTATTGCCTCGCAACCCCCGAAGATTTCTGAAGCACGAGCACGGGCCTCGCTTCGTCATAGCCCGCTTGGCCGTCCCATTGGCCATCTACTGCATCATCTTTAACATAGTCCGCCTGGCGAAGTGAAGCACAGAATGAGAAGCAGCCTCTTGATCTAGACTTCTTGATACCGTACATAGCCTCTAAAATTCAAGGCTTGCACATTGACATGTCCAGAGCTTGGCGGAAATGCCAAGATATGGCAAGACCAGTATAGCTCCCCTTGCAAGCACGCAGTGGCCTCCCAACCGGCGGCTGGCCGAAGAGGTGGATACCTGGAACAGCAGCTGTGCAACGGCAGCTTTTGCTGCTTAGGGCCACCATCTCTCAACAGTTGCGGAAAAGGTTCACAGATTCGACGACCATTTGGCTGCGCGTCCCCTGACAGAAGCTACCAGGCTACGGCTAGTGGCAAGCGTGGCTGGCACATTGGGGAGCGAAATCGCAGGCAGCGCAAAGACTCAGATGGTCCTCCAAGCCATGAACTGCAACATCGGCAAGCCTGTCCGCAAAAAATGGCATCGCACCAATTTCCATTTTCAGTTTTGCAGTTTGCAGCATGTTCAAGAGGCCGGTTTTAGGTTGGCTACACAAAAAAAGGCTGTTCAGCTGCGACTGACTGCCTTACCTTTAGGTAGCTAGGGATGAAGGAATGGACCTTAATAGTAGTCCATATATAACCCATTGCAGTAGTTTCCATTTTCTTTTCCATTCCTTCCAAACCCTAAACCCAATGGTTCCATCTTCTTTTCCATTCCTCCATTCCCAGCTAACCAAAGGCCAGCTGCATGCAAGAGTCTCAGGCTCGGCAAAGACTTCCTCAATCGCCAGCGACTTTGCCAGTCGCCATGTCGCACTGGCCTTAGTCCCACGTCAGTCCCTTCTGCCAAAGTTTCTGAGATTGTTTGGCATTTTGATACGTTTTGGGTGAAACCCGAGCTCCCAGCGAGGACACCCCCAAGCAAAGGGCGCATGCTTCGTTGCTTGTTTTAGGTTGGATACTGCCCCCACCCAGTAACAGTCTATATTAGGGGTCCTATTAAGGGCTATATAGAACCCTAATATATTTATTATCCAACTGTTACTGAGGGGGGGCAGCACCCAAAGGATTTTAGGGCCTTGGGGCTATGCCCAGCCCTCCTGAGCCGAAAACGGCCGCGGGACTAAGACTGGAGTCCTTTCACCACGAAGGGCACAAGCTTCAGATGTGCACCAGCAACCTTCCTTATCCTACTGTTATATAGGGGATATATGGGGATAATGGAAAATAGAAATGGAAACTACTATGGTATATTGGGATTATATAGAGGATATACTACTGACTATCAGCAATCTCCCTGCCTGTTCCGCAAGCTGTGCCTCCAGCGCTGCACGCTCGCTTTCTCGCTGGGCTTCTGCTTCCTGACACGGAAGGACTATTTTCACATACACTTTAAGAAGAAAAACGCTTCCTTGCCCTGTTAGTATTAGGCTGCATGTAAGCCATCTCTGAAGTCATTAATGTTCCTCCGCAGCTGCCGGTTCACAGTAGGAGTCTTTGGCGAGATCAGATCTTAACCCAGTTTCCTGCTGGCGTTGGCGCTCTTCCTCCATGGCTGCACGTCGAGCAGCCTGCAGCAAAAAAAGCCATCCCCGACGCAGCTGCAGATGCCCCAATTTACCCGACCTTACCGTTGCACACAGGCATGTAGAGAAAGGTGCAACAACGATATCAGTCCGTTGGGGAAGCGTTGCCAAATGATTGAGGCCGTTTCGCGTTATGCTAGCCAGCCTCTGCGGCCTTGATCTCTTCGGCCTGGATCGTTTGGCCTTGTGCTGTTGATTTCACATCTCACCGGCAATTCCCGTAGAAGGGGACGTCTAGCCTTGCCTCTCTTCCTTTTTATATGGAATCCTGTCATCCCTACACTGACACTTGCGCCAAAAAGCGCTCCAATCCTGTCATCCCTACACTTGCGACAAAAAGCGCTCCCACTGGAACCAAGGGCTCCGGCCCTCTTGGACGTTGGCAATCGCAAGCTTGACCTGCTTTCCAGGTGCAACAGGCCAGAGTTTGCACTTAGACAGGGCTAGTCAAAGAGTGTGGGATAGAGCTTTCCTTTCCCGCGTCCAGATCTCGTTGTCTGCAGCTGCCCTGAGTCAACTGGCTACATACGTGCCTCGGTGTAGCGTTCCTCTTCCTTGAGCTCCAGCCCGCTGACCTCCATGCCGCTGCGGAACATGTACACACACACACACAGAGGGGACAATGCTGGCGAAATTGCAGAACTATAGTAGCAATAGTAGTAGCTTCCATTTTCTTTTCCACTATCCCTATATCATCCCTATATACCCTGGCACTTTTCAAGTCTGGCTGGGCCTTTCCCTCTAGCGAAGCCAAACGCTCATTTACCTGCCAAGCATGAGGGTTTAGGGTTTATGTTTTCAAGGGCTTGGAGTTCAAGGTTTGGTTTTCAAAACCCCATCGGACTTTTGGGGTTTATCTTTTTTTGCAACGCGGTGTATGGTTTAGACATCACATGCCAGAAATCCATCTGCCACTCAGCGGCCTGAGCGTTGATGACAAATAGAATTCGAACCCACAGAATCGACCGTTATATAGGGCCCCTGAAATGGCTTATATTCAGATACATAGGGAAAAAGGACTGGAATTGACTAGGGTATCTTCTGGCAGACTTTTCAGATGTGGCAACGCCCGAAAGCTGCAGCGACAGGTTGCGGGTTAGGGCTTCGGGACTCCAATTATGCCTTTTTCTTCAGAATTTCATGTTCCATGTTCTTTCCCATTCCATTCTCCATCATCTGGGGATACTGTCCCTAAGCCCTTTTTGAAAAACCCTAAACCCTACACCCTGCCTGCTTCTCCAGGAGGGCCACGCGAGCGGATTGGCTTGCGAGCTGGGCCTCCGCACTTGAGAGGCACACCAGGTTTAGGGCTAGGCGGGCTTTATTTTTGGAATTTAGATTGGGTACTGCCCCCCTCACTAACAGTTGGATAATAATTATAATATGCTCATATATAACCCTTAATAGGACCCCGAATATAGACTGTTTCTGGGGGGGGGGTTACCAAAATTATAGAGGGTGTAGCGATTATGTAAGGCTATCTGGGGGTTGGAGGCTTATGGGGACAATGGGGAATCCAATGGAAACTGAAAGTGGAGGTGACATACACGCAGCATCTCACAGCCATCTGAAGCTTTACGCTCAGCGCATCATACATCAGATATAGTCAGAATCCTCTATGACAGTCCAGTATATGATCCCCTATACAGCCCCCTTTCAGGGGTTTGGACATTGGACCATCCTAAACCTGAAACCCTAATCCCTAAACCCTATATAACCCGCTTTAAAGAGTTGAGACATTAAACCATCCCAAACCCTTCTTTTTGAACCCAGACTCGGTCGATCAGCTGGGAAGCAGCACATTTCAAATTTGCAAGCACTCCTAAATCCTAATCCCTAAACCCTTTATAACCCCCTTTAATTTAAGGAGTTTAGACATTAAACCATCCTAAACCCTAAACCCTAATCCCTGAACCCTGTATAGCCCCCTTTAAGGAGTTTAGACTCTAGCTCTCGTAGCAAGAAACGTCGCCCAGCTTGAAGCCTCCTGATCTCGAAGCTTTCGCGTTGCTTCCTCCACGGCCTGCAGATGGCACTTTCTGCAAAGCAAGGGGGCTCAAATATAGAGCCCCAAATAGCATGATATAGTATAGTCCTGTATCATAGTTGGAGGGTCGGGGGACTTAGTACGTAGGTTAATAACCCCTACAACCCGTATAGTAACCCTAGTTATCCCCGTTATTAACCTACTTGATAAGTCCCCCTGACTCTCCAAGCAGGGATCCCCAAAAGGGTACCCTTAATTTTAGCAAACCCCAAATAACAAGTTCCGTGGGCACCCATCTTTTGAGATGGTGAACCAGCAACGAGTACACGGAACGCAGGCCTTGCACTGCTCTTGGACGCTCTCGAGCTGCCGCTGAAGTTCTGGAACCAATGTCGAAGTGACCTGAGCATTTCTGACTCCTTCTTTTGCTTAGATGTGGTAGTTTCCCAAAATAAGGGGACCCCAATGTAGACCCCAAAATACTATAGTCCTTACTATAGGGACCCCCAAAATGGTACCCCTAATTTTGGGAAACCCCCATGTCCTGTGTCCTGTGGCGACGGCCTCCTGCAAGCCTTCTTGAAGCGAGCTGATCCGATCAATGGCAGTTGAAATCTGTTCATCCTGCGGCCCGTCAGACACCCAATGTGAGAGCACACGTGAACTGCGATTGCTTGTCTCCATGCCAGAAGGTCCCACCTGCTTCCCCTGTGTCACATCCACTTTGGCCTGTCACAAGACAGGGCATGCTTTGCTGGTGCAGCAACGTTTTGCAGCCGCAGGGGGGGCGGGGTCAGCCTGCCTGCTCCTCAGCGAGGCTTTGAAGGACTTCCTCCCAACTTCAATTGGAGGACGGCTACCGACTGTTAAAAGCTCACGTGGAACTTCAGCATTTGCCGTTTGCCATGCTTCTCTCTCGCAGCTAGCTGCAAGTTCATCCATAATGGATCTTGGCTCTCCCAACTGCGCCTGTAGCTTGGAAAGCCCCAGGAGCTCTGACATGTCTCCGATCCTTAGTAATAGTAATAGTAGTAATAAGTATTAATAACAGTACTGGTAATAGTCTGGGAATGGCAGCAGAGGAGTAGTCACAAGCAACCCCCGCATGTGAGATGTTGGGTCGCCACCTGCTGGTGGCGCCATTCCCGTTGTTGGCGCCTTGCGCCGCCATATGGAAGGCTGGCGATCACCTCCAAAGCAAGGGGAAATGTGCCAAAGCGCATCCGAGTACCTCAACTGCAACAGCCCATGCCCCGCACGTAGACTGTCTCTATACATCTGCATAGAAATCTTGGCTGGGCTCTCACATGCACACGTGCTCATACTGGCCAGGTACCCGCCTCGTGAGGAGCTGCAATATGATCTACACAGGTTAGCAAAAGTGGGGATACTTCACAGCTGGCGTTGGCAGCGGAAGGCACTTGCATTCGAAGATCGCACGGGTCTGAGACACACTTACTTACTTACTTACTTACTTACTTACTTGCGTGCTTGCTGACTTGCTTGCTTGCTTGCTTGCTTACTTACTTACTTACTTACTTGCTTGCTGACTTGCTTGCTGACTTGCTTGCTTGCTTGCTTGCTTGCTTACTTACTTACTTACTTACTTCTCACTTCAACTCATAAACACGAAATCATGCAAAGGCAGCGCCATGATGTCTTTTCCACGTTGCTGCAGGGGCTCGTAGAGCACTTCCGTCTGTTGCAGGGCGCAGGAGGAAAACCCACAGCTCTCAGTTGGGAGTGTCCTGCCGCGCCCCGCCGTGGGCAAGGCAATTGAGCCTCCATCCGATCTAGTTGCGGACAACCATGGGTCCTGCACAAGGCAAACGTGGCCTCTTCAGTGAAAGGGTGTCCTCTAGCTTAGAAACGCTACTGTAGCTATTAGACAAGACCATTGAAGTAATTAACACTGCCTTCTAGCTGAAAAACAAAAACTACAAGATTAGACGATTCAGGCATTATTGCTGTCCTCTATCTTAAAAGCAGTGACTACTAGACAAGACCACTGACGCATGATCATCATGATCACTATCCTAATAGCTACTGGTTGCTAAACTCAAAACGCCGCAGAAGGATGTTCGACCTGAGAACGGGTTGACAGCTTGCACGGATGTTGCAGCTTCACGTCAAACTGCTTCGCACAGTAGCTTTCCCTTCCCTATGCTTCTTTTCGAATCAGCACAACGCGCGTCTATGCGTCTATCTGTGGTAGAAGTTGCCATGCGGCAGAGTCTCTCAAGCCCCATGGAAAGCTGTACGTTCCAAACTGCCACCAGCCGTCAGCAAGGATCGCCCTGCGATTCAGCCTGGCTCGTTAGTTCAAGCTTGGGATGCAAATAAAAACGGGCGCATCCAACTGCGTGAGCCTCAGCGCCCCCGAGTCCGAGCATAGAACAGCTACTACAAAACACTACAAGTACAAATGGCCGCGCCCGCGTACAGCGGCCAGGTAATCCAGCAACGGGAAAACTTTGCACATTGTAGTCCAAGGCGCAACCGACTCAGCCTGCTCTAGACTCTAGCCATCCATCCTCCTTGAATCCGATCGCAAGTCTGACAAGAAGTCGTTTCCATCGGAGCTTCGATCACCATAGCCTCACGGCAGGTCATCGGGCGCACATTTACTCTAGTCTATTGAACAGGTGTGACGACTAAGGCAACCACCGCCGATCGGGCCGAACATGCCGAAGGGTGAAGAGAAGAGGGAGGAGTTGGCTCCAGGCTCGTTGAACATGCCCAAGCGGTCCAGGGATGAGTCGAAGAACTCCTGCATCCCTGAACTGGAGCCTGGCTGCTGCAGCCGAGGTTGAGGCTGCTTCGGGATGCCTGGTGCAATGCCAGGTGGGAGGCCAATGGCACCAAGGCTTCCAAAGTCCAGCCCCGGGGCACCAAAGAAGCTGTCTGTCCCAAGGCCCTGCACGGCAGAGACTGCCGCAGCCTCCGCTGGAGCCAAGCTGCCAGGATCATTGGAGGCGTAAGGGTTACCAATGCCAGGTGGGGGCCTCACAGGCTGGGGAGACAGACCGGGAGCAGGGCCAGTGAGCAAGAGCCCGAGATCAATACCTGGAGGTGCTCGCACGCTTCTTGATTCGCCCATCTCGTGTGCTGGTACGGTGCTCATGGGACTGATGGCCTTCGGCTTGATGGGTGCCGCCTTGCTGGGTGCAGGTGGTGGTGGAATGGAAGGTGGTGGGGGAAGCGGCATGGACGCGGATTCTTCCTGCATCATGCCGCTTGGTTGGCTCATGAAATCACTTGGAGACTTGTTGTCCATCCAAACAGAATTCACAGAATTCAAGGGAACTGCGGGTGGTTGTGGCTGGGTCTGTACAGGTGGTGCTGCTGGGGGAGCCGTTGGTGGTTGCGAGGGAGGTTGAGCTGGTGCTGGCTTTGCCGCCTGAGCTGGGGGTGGTGGGGCTGGGGGCATTGATGGGGGCTGGCTCGGGGGAGCCTTTGTTGCGGGGCCTCTCTCCTGTTGTGGTTCAGTCCGCTTATTCTTCGACTCCTTCTCTCTCTCCTTCTTCTTTGCAGCTTCTTCTTGGGCTCGCTTCTCGCGCTTTGCCTCCTCCTGGCGGCGCTCCTCCTCACGCCGGCGCTCTTCAGCTGCGCGCTCCTCATCGCGACGCCGGGCTGGGGTGGTTTGAACGCGGGGTGCTGAGGAAGATGCCGCTTGAGGATGTGTTTGAGCGGGCTGCGCTTGACTCGCCGGCGCGGCTTTGGCCTGGTTTGGCGATTGGTCGGGCTCGTTCTTTTCGGCCTTCTTCTTCGGCTTTGGCTCTTCTTTCTGCGCTTGCTGCGACTGAGAAGGTCGCCTGTCACCATTCGCACTCTGCGCAGGCTGCGTTGGTGACGAAGCCTTTGCTGGCATGCTCGGGGCAGGAGGTGAGCTCTTGGGCACTGTGGGAGAGGGCACGCTTTCCTTTGCTTGGCCTTTGCCCTCCTTCTGAGGTTGCTTAGCTGGCTGTTTGACTTGAGCCTGAGGCTGACTCTTTGGCGTATGAGCCTGAGCCTTCGCCTGTGGCTGATTCTTTGCCGCTGCTTTTGCTGGCGGGGCTTCTTGCGGGACACGCTGCTGCAGCTGCTGCTGCAAATGCTGCTGTTGCAGCTGTTGGAGCTGCTGCAGCTGCTGAAGCTGTTGCTGAAGCTGCTGCTGTTGCTCCTTGAGCTGATCTTGCTGCGATGCTTGCGATGCTTCGCTTTGTTGCTGGGCCCGCTGCTGCTGTGATGGCTGTCCTTGCTGTGCTTGCGCTGGAGGTGGTGACCTTGGCTGCAGGCATAGGGATTCATGAACATGGCTTCCTAGGGACCATATAAGGATTATATAGGGATACAAGGGGGAACGGAAAAGAGAATGGAAACAAGGGCAATTTGGGGGGTATGTAGGGAATCACGATTGCTGGATGATCCCACTTTTCATGGGATCGCCATGTCTGAGCCCTAGACGGCTCTTCTTGCACATGTGCCCGTTGCACAGGCTCCTTGTCCTGCTTACCGTGTGGGGCTCTTGAAAATGGAAGCACGCACTCCAGAATCTGTCCTCGACGCCGGTAAAGGCATCCACACTTGTCCAGGAGAGCCTGTGTCTTTTGAGAAACCGAAAGGTTTGGAGAGGCTGGCATCAGTCGCATCTATGCAGTTAGATGAGCAACATGGAGATGACATCGCCGACTCTAGCTGCGGGCGAAGCATATGCATCAGCACCGGATGAGCCGTTGAACCTCCAAGTGCAGGAAATCACGTTTCACCTTTGCCATGCCTGTGAGCAATAGGCTGTTTTGCACTTGAGGCCGCGACAACTTGCTGGTGAGCTGTCCTTGCAGGGTAATCTTTTGGAGAATCTCGTGCACAGGCAAAGCTGGATCAGGTAAAGCGCCGCTACAACCCGCTGCCTGGCGATGGTGATCTGAGTGCTCGGAAGCCGTCCATCGCCACAACTACCTTGGGCAAACCGGAGGCTCTCAGAAGCCAATCCATCATCTCAAAAGGCTAACATTACCTTAAACTCATAAGTGCGAGAAGTGCAAGTGAGCCACAAACATGAGCAGCAGCACAGCAAACGCTGTGCCAACAACCGCTCTTCGAACAGATGCCTCTGTCTGATCTCCCAATATTTGGAGTGACCTCAGGCAAATTGGCCTCTGCTAGGCTGCAGGGATGCGAAGTACGTATCCCTTGAAACGGTGCAGAAGGAGGTGCGAAAAACGCCGAGCAAAACCACAATTGCAAGCACCACCAGGTCATGCTGAGCCACGTTGGCAAATCGCTCAGCATGGGAAGCAGCTCTGGAGAAAGATTTACTCGCAGCGGAACCTGCCACAGCGGAACTGCCAGATGCTGCATTCGATTATTGCTCTGTGGCTGACCTGCCTGCAACACAGGTCTGCCTGATGAGCTGAGAAAGCGAAGATTCCGGGCCTCAGAGGACGATATGAACGTGAATGGGACTGCCGGCAGCAACTGCAAATGCGCAGCGAATGTACTTTAGCTGAACTCTGTCGGGCTACCCATCGCGAGGCCACAACTTCTGGAGTGAAGGATACGGAGACTGCAACGCTTTCATGCGGAGCCACGGTGAAGGGCAACCGGCAGTCGAGTACCTCCCCAGGTGGGTCCATACGAAGACATGTCTAACTTCGAAGGCACAAGGTGTTGATTCTTGGCAGTGAACCCAAAGCCAACGACATGCACCAAAGTTCCTGTCATCTTCATCTCTTTCTAAGCTGTTCCCGGGCCGACTGAATAGCAGGTGTCCCTGTTTTTCCGTTTATCCGAACGCCAGCTGTACTTTCTCAAAGGGGCTCTGCCTCAAAGCCGAAGGCACTGCAGCCCGGGACGCCGCCAATGTTTACCTCTGCTACCTGCACACGAGGAAGCCTACATGCATAGCGGCAAGCGTGAAATCATTCTCTCATTCAACTCTCAATCCAAATTGGCTTGTCTAGTGGACTGGCTTCCCAATCCCAGTTTCTGCGCCTCGACTGGAAGCTCGCAGTCATTCGTGGCCATGAGGCTTCTAGTCACTGCCACCCGACGATGTTGGCGCCACCAGGAAGGCTGGGACCTCACCGCTCACCAGGCTTAGGTCTCTTTCGAAGAACATAACTTTCTGACAATTGCGAGCCTGCGTACAGCTTTCGCACTTAACTTTGACTTGTTGAAACGTGTTGCGAAGCGTGCTCACATGCCAAGGTCTACTGAGCAGCAGTGAACAACGCCTTCCAGGACGACTTGACTTGTCATGCATCACAGCAGAATGCAAAGCAAGATTCCCCAATCCATCTGCATCTGAATCGAAGCCTTGGCTGTCGTGGACAGTAAGCCGGAACATGCCATGGACGTCACTTCTCGCCTGCAACGTCGAAGTGGCAGTCTCGTCATCAGGTCAGACCACAGCAGCATGGCAGCGGATGACACAAACGGAAAGTCATACCCCTAAACCCTAAAACCCATTACCCACGAATCCACGCACCATTTGCAGACCAGCAGACTACTGGATCCCGGTCGGCTTCCATTCGAGGCCGTCAGCCAGGACAACCAGGCAGGCTCTCCGGTCTCGCCGCCTTCATCACGCGAGAAGTTGCCATCCTTGGGCGAAGCCAGGTTTCTGGGGTCTAGGATGATAGGATGGTCTAGTAGTGTCCATTTTCTTCTCCACTATTTTTATTATTGTTATTACTATTACTATTACTATTTCGGTTACTATTTCTATTATTCTAGAATGTTGCCACTTGTATGGCCATGCAGCACAGCAAGTTTCCAATCCCGAAGGATGGCAGCAGCTTTGCAGGAAAGCATCTGACTGGTTGCCTCTTGCAGCTGCTAGCTTCCCGAAGCTGTGGAAAGCACCTTACCACAGTAATATTCGTAATAATTGTATCATAATAATAGTAGCAAAAATAGTATTATAATAGTAATACGAATAAAAGTAATAATAGTATGGGTTATATTGGGGTTATATTATACTACAAAAGGGGGTTCCCAAAATTAGGGGTATCATTATGGGGGTCCCAATAATAAGGACTACAATATATTGGGATCTAAATTGAGGGTCCCCCTATTTTGGGAAACTATCATTGATAGATGCCGTTTGCAGAAGTTGCACCAGTCAACACATAGGTGGGAACCAAAACCGGGGGTCCTGTGTGGGGAGTCCCCATGTCAAGGCGTATAATATCTTGGGGTATACAGGTGGGACCCCTCGTCATGCAAAGTCCGATCCAAGGGTTTTCATAGATAAGGGGCAGAAAGGGCTCCATTTTAAGGAATCTCCATAAACGGAAGTCACACAAAAATGGCGAAGACGAGCACTGCTTAAGCTGGGCCTTCATCGTCTTCAGCCCCAAAGTCTGCGGTGGTCAGGTTGAATTCCTTGCGTCTCTGCTTTCTGAAATTTGACGCTATGCCAGGCTCTTAGGGACCGTAGGGATATGTGAGCCGTAGTCTAAACTCCTAGTATCCCCCTAGATATCCCCTATGGTAGTCCCACATTTAATCCCCTATATAACCCCCTTTAAGGAGTTCAGACTACAGCTCGTATTTAGGGGCTAGAAGGAGATTGCAGCTGGATCTAGGGCAAGGAAAGGGCTAGACTCTCGCCCCTCATTCTCATGCTTGCCCAATGACGTCTGGTAAACACCTGCTCCATGGGAATATGTTGCATGTGCTGCCAGGGCTGCCAAAGAGTCGGATCCGAAATAGAACATACCAAAGCAAAAGAAAAAGCCCCATTCGCTTGATATCCTAGCAGGCTCACCAGACTCAAATCAATCCGATGAGCAGATGCAACATGGACATTCAAAGTGTGTAAGGGCGTTCGTTAGAACACTTGCTGCCGGAAAGCCGCTAATGCATTCGAATGACATGATGCCGTCGGTAACTACTATTGGCCGCCGAGGTGCCAAGACCCCTTCTGGAAACACTAGACGGCTGGAGCCACCGTGGCCAATGAGCTCAACTTGATGCAGCGCGGTGAGGTTGTTTCTCACGTACAGCGTTGTGCGGTACCTGCCCGGCATGCTAATGATCTTCTTTCGGAGTTTGTGCCTCCAGTTCTCCCTGGCTTTGTAGGCCCGTAGGCTTCTGGATGTCTTGCAAGGGCACTGCGCATGCTGAAAGGGCTCGAAAATGATTGGGCCGACAGAAGCTTCGCCAAGAGGCTCCACGTGCCAAACCTCATTGAATATCCAGCGCATGCAAAAGTGGATGTTCATCACATTTGTGGCTACCGTGTATGCCCCAAAAACATCTGAACCGCTCCCCCTTTCATTGCCTTAGCAGCGCAATTTTGGGAAACCTCTCAAAGGGTGGTCTGATTCGGTTGGGCCAGGGGCAGTCAATAACAGTACCCATTTGGATCACTGCCCCCGAATATCGTGCCCGAGAAAAATCATGCCGTGTTGTCAGTCAAGGGGGCCAGCGAGTAATGTTTCTGACGCATGCAAGAACAGCAGCCGGCTCGTAGCATGAGGTGATGTGGTTGGTGGTCTATCTGTTCCATGTATAACACAACTGAGTGCGCACATAACATAAAGGAACATACCCCTCAATATGTCCTTGTGAAACGGAGACCCTCGCTTGGGTGCTTCTTTTGTTCCTGCCAATCTGTCCCTGCTCTGGAAAAAGCGTGCACCTGTCGCAAGGGATCCGCTTTTCGCGCACGCACTTCAACGAGAAGTAACCTCTTCGCTCCAATTTGTGAAGATAATCCCGAGAAGTCCTGTTTAAGGAGATGATAGTCTGAGTTCTGCGAAGCTCTGAGTCCTCCAGGAATTTCTCCCTTTACTTGTCCTGATACTATTGCTATCAACTCTGACTGGTACTTTTCCTCATTGCCACGACTATAACTATAACAATTACTATTATCTACTACTCTTACTATGAATATGCCATATGCTATATTACTAGTACCCTACTAAACATTACTCCCCAATATATACCCCATTATAATCCCTATAATCCCTATAGCTTCCATTTTCTTTTCCATTATCCCTATAATCCCCCAATATAGTAATTCAGCTGGGGAGCTTTGGCGTCGGCTTCGGCCCCTAGGCGGAAGGCCCTACCACCTGCACAGTCGGCGGCGAGGCTCGCCGAAGTGCTTTCCTGCCAACTGGGAACTGAAATGTGAAGTTAGGGTTTAGGGTTAGGGTTTAAGGTTTAGGGGCTTAGGGGTTTAGGGGTTTAGGGTTACCTGAAACAATGGGCTACTTTGACCCCAAATGCTAGGTGGGAAAAGTGAGGGACAGCAGACTATAATCATGGGCTGCTGGCTTTCTAGGCAGGCCTTAGTAGAAGGGATGGACGGGGTTTGGGCGGTTGGATAGGGGGTGTAAGGAGTACTTTTGGGAGTCCTATGAATATATGAGGCTTTTGAGTGGGTCTTCATAACCCCTCTTAAAGACTCTATATGGTTTGTCGGGAAACTCGCTGTGGGCAAGTTGGGGCACCTCTGCAGGGTCGATGGGAATGCTAGGTTCCGCCAGCTACACCTATGTACGAGCGGCCTGCGCTGACGATGCTGAAGAGCTTGCAGTCTGGTTGTCCGTGCTGGAGCGGGACTTTGTGGCCTGGAAGCTGCATCCCCGCCCACCCCTCTCCTCATGCCAGTTTTGTCCATGGGGCTTCAAAGGGGAAGCACGGAGAATGGCAGCACTTGACATTGGATAGCGTCACGTTGCTAAGGCTGCGGCTGAGCACACTGGAAAAACGAGTTGTAGAGCCTGCCACACACGGCTACGCTGAATCGGCTAAGCCTGATGAAGTTGTGCCAGTTGCCAGCTGCAGCCAGGCAGCCAAAGGTGACTCGGACGGATTTTGCACCAGCAACCAACCTCGGCAAATCCCACCCAGGACATAGGATCAGTGTCGCGTTGCGGCATATAAATAGCAAAACCAAAGGTGATACTTCACAACACGGTGTAAAAGTGCGTAGGCGTGCGTAGACGGTGGCTAGTTCATATGGTCTCCTGCAAGCCCCGAGCATCTCAAAAGTAGCTGGCACTAGTTCACAGCCACGCGGGAAAGACACTTGCAGTGAACCTGTTGGCTCCTCTCAGTCACCGGCCACGGCTGCATCACGAAGTACAAGAATGGACACCATGTACGTGCAGCATCTTGAAAACTTGTCGAACAATTTAGACCCCAAACTCCGCCAAACAAATTTGTAAAGCAAGGAAGTCTGCAGCCCAGTGTCGAGTCTTTGTAGCACCGACTTGAGTAAGGTCGAAAGACAGCAGTGGTTCAAATAGAGAGTGCGGCTGCATCAATGACGCCTGTACCTGCAGCATCTCTGCTCAAGGGAAGGAGCACATCCTCCTGGAAATGCATCCGCACATGCCCAACAACCAAAGCATGAAGCCTCGCGCAGGCTAATCCTGTCGAGGCGCAGTCAGAGTGGCACCCGCAACTATGTTGGTGTCAAAGATCAACGTGGCTTCAATCTCGGATGTGCCTCTACCTCAGGGTCAAGAGCGACATCCGCCTTTGACAGAACACTGACATTGCTCTGTACGCTCCTCTTTTCTCTCCACAGCATTCGAGATATCTGCTTTTAATTCTGTCTCTTTTTCAGAACACCTGACAATGGAATCCTCGCGAGGTTCCGAGGTTCGGAGGTTTCGAGGTTTCGAGGCTCCGAGGAGGTTTCGAGGTTTCCAGGTGTCGAGATTTCGAGGCTTCGACGTTTTCGGCGTTTTCGGAAAATCCATTGTCAGGTCTGATCTCCTCTTTTTCGGTCGCGGCCACGGCAGGGGACATGCTGCGAGCTGTCGCAGTCGTTGGCCCAAGTATTTCCTCCAGCTTATGAAGTCACCAAAGAGCTCGAGTTGTATAACCTCTGCATGTCAACACTCCAAGCCTGTCAACGCTAACTGCGCTCTACCATCCTGCATCAAGTGAACCTCCCCTTTGTGTCTTCGCATGCATGGTACATCTGGATTGGGCCCTTGGAGATCTACCCGCAGTGCTCCAACAACGCGTAAGTACTTGATTGAACGGAGACACACCAAGAGACGCCACATCCCCATGCATCCCCCATGTCAGCAGCCTTTCTTCCTCTGTAACGGTGCGGTTGCAGCACTCAAGCACCCTATAGTTCCTACTCACAGGAACGAGCGCAAACGTCATATTTGTCGATCTTGTCCGCAACCTATCTTGCAGCACAGCAGCCATTGGAATTTGTGACTGAATTCTGGCGAGCCATCCACTTCTCCAGGAAATCAAGCCTTGGTTGCTTTGTCAAGCTCAAAGTTCCTAGCTGCATTTCCCATCATTGCAGCATATTGCAGCCAAGCCCAACCGAGCCAGGTCACGTCAGTGGAGAGTCCCACGGAACAGTTTCGCCTGAAACTGAAGCAGCAAAGGTCCCGCGAGAGTCCTGCGGGTAGACGGTAGACAGGCATGAGGTTTGGAACTTATTGCCATGGCGCAGGTTACATGAGCTATCGTCTAAACTCCTTAAACAGGGCTTTTTTGGGGATTATACAGGGGACTGTTATAAGGGTTGTTAAGATATACGGGATTATAGAGGGGATTGTCTTAGGGGTTATTAAGGGGATACTTGGATGTTAGACTATGGCTCACATGGACATGATATACCATGACACGCTTCCTTCCCCGAGGCTTGCTCTGCAACTGGGTTTGGAACTAAGCTCAAATGCGGCTTTGTTAACACGATCTTGCCACCATGTGAAGAGCTTGGGTCACTTCGCATGGACGGGGCCTCCGCAGTCGAGGTTCCTGAGCTATGAAAACCCTTCAAGTGACTGACTCGTCCTCACTTCGGATGTATGAGGCTCCTGGACCCCCTCTGGTCGACCCCCAAGTTTTCCCATGACTCACCCATGGTGGACTGATTGCTTCTGGGTTGCCGTACGGTCCCAGCGAAGCCGCCTGCATGACTGTGAGCGGGACAATCATGGCCGCTATAACTACTGCTACTTTCGTTGCTGCTTCTCATTGGTGCGTTGTCATCTTCTTCTAGTGCCACTACCACTACCACCGCTCACACCTACACTGCCACAAACACTTTTACACTGAGACTTGCACTACCACTACCACTACTGTAATAAAAATAATAACTACTACTGCTACTACTACTAGTGCTACTGCTACTGCTACTGCTACTACTAATAATAATAATACTAATAATAATAATACCA